AGGCTACAATGTTGCACATTTGCGTGTCAGCCATTTGTTTGTTTAGGGTTAGGAATATTTGTTAGGTTGGGTGTAGCTCTTTTTATCTCCAACCTATCCCAACCCAATCCATCCCAAATCCCCACGATTTGGGAGGATTCCCTTGGGATTCTTTTCAATTCCCCTTATCCCTTCCAACCCTCTCCTATGGTTAGTACTTAAGCTTGTATGCCCTCTCTCATTTTAATCAATCAAATTCCCGTTTACTTACAACCCCCAGGGCTCGCAGACCCCTGCGGCGGCGGCGGAGAAGTTGACACCGGGGCGGAGACAGGCGGTGAGATCGAAGCCGCGGGGCCCCCGGATTCAACCGACTCCTCAACTAGGACAACCGATAGGAGGGGAGTGACGTGAGACATACCGGATGGGGTAGGACGGGGGGGAAGAGGAGCAGGGGCTACCGGGGGAGAGGGGACTAGGAACAGGGGCGGGGCAACCGGGAGATCTCGGTTGGAAAAGCAGGTGTAGAAGAAGATATACTCATGAAAAGTGATGTCACGAGAGTGAAAGAAACAGTGAGACGGCGGGTGGTAAAACTGCCAATCAAACGCGTCGAGGGGGAAACTAAGGAAAATACAAGGGACGGTGCGCGGGGTGAGCTTTTCCGTACTAGAGGCACGAATGTGAGCAAGGCAGCCCTAGAAATGGAATGCCGATGCGTCACCAGGGAACCCGGTCCAGAGAAGGGTCGCCAAAACCTGCGGCCACATGTTAAGCTGGTGAGCGGCGTAGCGAACAGCGAACGGCTACAGAAAATGGGGTGCACTGGCATGGATCATGGAGGTACGAGCCACCTCCATGACCAAACCGATACGTCGCTCAGCGAACCCATTCTGCTGCGGGGAGTCCGATATGGTGTACGACTGGGTGATGCCCTCCGCACGACAGAACTGGCCAAGCCGATCGGAGGCAAACTCGCCGCCACAGTCGGAGTGAAGACGCAGCTACGGGCAACTACCGGACCTGAGGAGGGGTCAGCAAGCGCTACAACGGCAGGGGCGGCTAGCGGCGGGAATGAAGTGTGGTCGCGAAAGAAGTAGGCGGATGCACCGGAGTCTTGCGTGAACGAGAGCGTGGCGGTAGCGGCCGCATGCGGAGGAGCTAGCATGGAGCGAAGGCTAAACAATGCAGGTGGTCATACACCTAACGCAGCAGGGGAAACATGACTACACTCAGTGGAGACACCTACACTAGGCAACACCGGGTAATGAGGTCTAGTCACACTAGAGTGATCAGCATACATCGCATACATAGCAGTCCTAATCTGATCCATGTCAAGCTCAAAGACAGGCACACGGCGGCGCACCAGGACATACCAGTCCAGAGGGTCCGACGTGGGATGAAAGCGGAGACGGAAGAGGTTGTCGAGGCGGCGGTAGCAACGGACGGTGGTGTGACTGGGACGGTCGCAGATGGTGCCGCGACGAGGGGCGGTTTGAAGCTGGTACTGGCAGGTGACCACACTGGAGCTGCCACCCGATACCGAGCTGTGTGGCGCACCACGACGACGACCACCACCAGTGCCACCAGGCCACGAAGGCGGCGAGGGTCACCAAGGTGGCTGCTGCTGCTGCTGCGAATACTGCTGCTGAGACTGGTGCTAAGGGGGCTACTGCTGCTGCTGAGGCTGCTGCTGCTGATACTACTGCTTCTCTGGGGCACCAGCCCCGGTCCCCTCGTCTACACCACCGTCCCCGCCCCCACCTCCACCACCCCCACCACCCTTCTCTCTGCCACGCCTCCCCTTGGGGCGGCGGCCCTTACCCGGACGCTGCTGCGCTGAGGCCGCAACGGCGGTCTCAGCAGCAGGGGCTGTCTCAACGACAGCGTCAGAACTGTCAGAGTAAGTGCACTGGGAGGGAGCACAATACCGCTAGACTGAGCGATAGTGCGCTGGCAGGTCGCTATCGTGGACAGGGCGGTGACAAAGGCAGTGAGGGTGAGATCACCTTGGTGTTGACTAAGGAAGTGATCGCGGGCAGTGGCTAGGCGGTCATGCAGGCACATGGCAATGAGGTAACGGGTAGCGCAAAGCGGCGGTAGGAAGACAGTGAGTTGTGCGCCAGTGCTAGCGGCACGCTAGCTAGTCTCCACTGTGCGGAGGTGAGTGACAAGGTCAACGACAGTGGAGAAAAACTCAAGGTCAGGGAACTGCATGGGGAGGATCAGGCAGCCGGCAGAGACCGAGGCGGGGGTGGAATAGCGTGCAATGACGGCATCTAAGTATTCCTTAGCATTTGAGACAGCGATAAAGCAGGGACGCTCAGACAGCGGGAGGGCGTGACTAATGGCAAGATGAGTAACGGCTTGGCGCAAATCCCAGACAGCGCAAGCAAGCTTAGCAGTGACAAAAGCCTCACGCTCAGCAGACGTGGGGGGTCAGGGGGGCAGCAGGCGGGCGGAGCGAGGGAGCTTACCGTCAACATGGACAGGCCAGGGAGTGGCTGTCCTAGCGCTGCCCGGTCAGCTGGCGGAGGAGGACGATAAGCCACACCTCAAACTCAACGACTCGACCCTCCACGTCCAGGCGGAGCAGAGAGTCCGCCATCACCACGGCTGCAGCAGCTGACTGCCGCTGACAAGGGGAGGAGAGAAAGCGGAGGAGGGCAGTGTAGAGCAGTGGAGTATGGTGGAGTGCGGTGGAGTGTAGTGGGGAGCGGTGTAGTGCAGTGGAGAGGGTGAAGTGCGGTGGAGAGCGGTAGAGACTGCCGACGAGAGCGCCGGATCAGAGGGAAAGCCAAGGCCGGCGGGGTGGGGGGCGGTGGCTGGTGGCTACGGGCGTCTAGCGACGACGGGCGGGTTGTTACAGGCGGGCCAGCGACTACGCGCAGGCTGGCAGCAATGGGCGGCCAGCGGGGACGGGTGGCCAGCATCTACTGGCGGCTGGCGGCTATAGGCAGCCAGCGGCTACGGGCGGCTCGCGGCATTGGGTGGCCAGCGGCGACGGGCGGCTGGCGGCAATGGGCGGCTGGCGGTTACGAGCGGCCAGCGGCTGCGGGCGGCTTGTGGCAACGGGCGACCAGTGGCTACTGGCAGCTGGGGGCTACGGGGGGGCAGCGGCTACAGGCGTCCATCAGCGACGGGCGGGCTGGCGGCAACGCGCGGCCAGCAAGGACAGGCGGGCTAGCGGCGACGGGTGGCCAGCGGCGATAGGCGGCCAGCGACGGCGGGCGGCTGGCAACTACATGTGGCCGGACATTTGGCGGCTATGAGCGGCTAGTAGGCTACGGACAGTTGGCGGCTACGAGCGGGGGCCAGCTGGTGGCTAAGGGCGGCCAGCGGGTTTGCTGCTACGGGCTGCTGGCGGCGACAGGCGGCCAGCGGGCTACGGGCAGCTGGCAGCGTGAGCGGGCAGCGACGGACGGTGGGCAGCTGACGGCTACGGGCGGCTGGCGGCTACGGGCGGCCAGAGGCGACAGGCGGCCAGCGGGCTGCGATCGACGGGCGGCGGGCAGCCGGCGGCTACGGGCGACGGGCGGCTAGCAGCAGCTAGCGACGGACGGCTAGGAATGGGCGACTAGCGACGGGCGGCTTGGGCTAGGGCTAGGACGAGGGCGGAAGCGCAAGTGGGCAAGATCCTAACCTAGCGTGATACCATCTCAGAGTAAAAAGTTGACTAGAATGATGGGATACAAGGGAATATAACCTAAGATATTGTACTCTATATGAGCAAGCACCTATAACATATACAAAATATATGTTGATACTCGCTTGGGGATTTTCGCGAGCCCGTCGCCTCATGGCGATCTCCTCGCTATTTTCACCGTCGAATCGATGAACCTCGTCGCCACGCTCGAAAATGTCTTCGCCGCGTGTCGACGACGTCAGTTGCCACACGAAATACAACCGAGGTTGAACAGTGACGAACCCCAGAAACCCACGTGACAGCAAAATCTGTCTGTTGCCGGGGGGAGGGAAAATACGGTCCATCCCGATCGTCCGAAGGCAGGGATCGAGTGGCGATGGTGCACACACGCTATCGTAGTTGTTGCAGCTCATCATATCTAACTGCAAGACAACTGCTATGCAGCTCCGTGCCCTCCAGCCATCCCTCTTCCCCCCCTCCAGAAAACAACAAATTATGGGCGGTGGAAGTTGTTGCCTAGGAAAGTGCTCTGAATACCAGGTGTTATGGGTGGAAACCCAAGAGTAGCGCGGAAGTGAATATCGAGATTCGAAATGACCGAATTATCAGTGTTATCCGAATGACCAGAGTGTCGATACAAAGAATGACGAGGCCACATATAGGAACACCAGTGCGAATCCCAACCGCGTGATGCACAGGTTCGGAGAAGGCATCCGAGGACGCGGAGCTCTCCGGAATGACACGGAATGGTTCAGTGTAGCACGTACGGGGACGGAACTAGGGCCTAGTCCGGTTCTATGTATGTTCGGTGTATGCGCTAGTAGTGCGCCTCAATAAGGAATTACTAATTCCTTAAAAACTATCTTAGGCATCACTGTTCTGGTCAACGTTTGGCCACCCGTGGATGCCCAGTTTTAGATGGTGGCAGGCAAGTGAAACGTGTAGCGGTTTGCCAGACAGCAACAATGCACTGCTGGTTGGACGAGGACGTGAGGTCCTTGGGATTCCCATTTATGTCATTAGGGTTTGCGACACAAAGAAAACAATTCGCGAAAACATTGCGACATTGACGGAACGGGCAACAAACTTCTGTTGGGGTCTGCGCCGTGGTGCCACCGACGGAAACGGAATCGTGATGAGCCACGAAACGCGTGCGACGTCAGTGCCGTGCAGGTTTGGCGCGAAACAAATGGCAGCAGAGGTCAGTTCCCAGGGTAGTTCACAGGGCAGGGGGACAGGGCAGGACAGAATCAAGGGCCATGGAAGCAGGCTGTACTGCAAGGCTAGCTGTGCGTGTGTGCGTGAGGGGGAGCCCAGGAGGAATCACTGGCAAGATGGGTCATGTGTCAAGGCTCTCTGCCACAAGTGGCTCGAGATAGCTTATTTGTACGGAACTAGAAGCCTAGTGCTGATCTCAGCTTGCTGACTTAACCCCGTACTGTAACTACTAACTTATCCTTTTTCATGAGTTAAGCTCGCTCTCTGAACAGCAACGGATAGCCCTTTTTTCGTGCATCCGTTACTTTTAGGTCTCCATCAGGACTGTTATGTTCATAGCGCTTCGCGACAATGGCAAGCCTTTGGGGTTCCCGACGCATGTCGAAACAGCTCACGCGCCAATCAAAACGCGAGAAAGGCAAAAGGCCCGAAGAGCCTCAGGAGCTAGATTTAACTCGCCTGCAGTCCACTAATTCGAGGACTCGCAAGAAGGCGGAGCTTATAAAGAAAGTGAGCGAATCGCGTCGCCGGTTCCACTTTAGAGAGCTCCTGTGCATCGCGCTGCCGCCGAACGCGACGCTCGAAGACGGACAACTACCATGGCCGCTCTGCTCCCCTCCCACCACGCCGGACGCATCCGGCCGAGGTCAGTTGCCGGGCGCACTCGGCACAGGTCAGTTGCCGTCACCGTACAAAGCAAGGCCGTGAGACGTCATAGAACTCGCGTAGATTCGGTGACTGACGCGCACTACCTTCCCCAAACCACCTGATGTCTGTCGAGAGCTCCATATAGTCTAGTCTAGTCGCGGCTACTCGCCCTAAACAAGGCGGTCGCGTACCCGCTTAGGCTCAAAGTTCAACCGCCGGTGCCCTCCAAGTCACGTCACGAGGAGTCTTTTCAAAGCACCGTGCGAAGTACCTCCTGACTTGAAAGCAGCAATCACGCAGGACATCCGTGTTTCATGCGAGGACGGTCATAAACTCATCGACCCGCATACTAGACCCACAGAGTGGCGAAAGAAACCCGTTGCCGTATCTGCCGTACTTAAGTCTCGTGATCCCCGCCTATGTCTCGTCCCGCCTTTCCCGTGCTTAGCAGGGCTGACGTGGTTCCCGAACGCCAGCGCGGACGACGAGTGGCTGGACGAGGGGGGACCGTTGCGGCACGTAAATAGCTGCACCGAGTACCATGCCCTCCCCGCCATGCACACCCCCCTCCGCCTCCCCCCGGGGCTGACGTGGTTCCCGAACGCCAGTGCGGACGACACGTGGCTGGACGAGGGGACCGTTGCGGCGCTCGCTGCAGCTAACACCATGCCTCCCGCCTTTGTCTCCCCCACTACCCTTTCCCCTTCCCCAGGGCTGACGTGGTTCCCGAACGCCAGCGCGGACGACGAGTGGCTGGACGAGGTCGAAGCTGCCACGGCCTCACACGGCGCCTTGCCCGCAGGCTCAGGTGTGTTGCTGGGGTTATGTGGTGGATCCAGGGGTAGTTAGTTGGGTCCAGGGACCAGGGGTATAGAGGGAACGGGGGCATAAGCGCGAGAGGAGTCAGCGAGGCATATTAGGACGCCAGTGCGGACGACGAGTGGCTGGACGAGGTCGAAGCTGCCACGGCCTCACACGCCTTGCCCCAGGCTCAGGTGCGCTGCTGGTGGGTTTTGCCGTTCGTCCAGGCACTTCGAAAGTCGTGAGAGGGAGATGTATGGATTCGGTGCAGGAACGTTGTTTCGCTGGGATCCGCAGACTCATAGACTCACATACTAGGCCCACGCCTTCCCGGGAGCCAAGGACGTTGTCTCGTTGTTTCGCCTTGTTTGGTTGGCGAATTGTGGAAGCCATGGCAGAGCTGCCCCTCCGTCTGTTTGAAAACTCTCATCCCATCCTTCCCTGCCTTCCCCCCCCCTTCCCCCCTCCTCCCCCCAACCCCCGCTTCGTTATCAGCAGGCTGCGAGCAGCAGCGCTGTATCCAGACACGTGCGAGAGGAGGTTGTAAAGATTGAGGAGGTCTCTACCGAAATCGTGACCGTTGAGGAGCTATCCACAGAGATCAACCAGCCGGTTAGGTCTGGGAGAAGACGGAGGTCAGGGGCGAGAGCAAGGGCAGAGACAGGCACAGGAGAAGAGGAGGAGAAGAAGGGGAGGAAAGGCAGGAAGGGCGGTAGCAGGTCGAAGAGAGAAGCTCAGCCGCCAGACGAGGCAACGAGCGCGGATCCTAGAGTGCTGCCTGAAAGGCCTGCTGCTGCTCCTGAAGCAAGGAACGTGGGGGCGCCACAGACTGCTGCTAGCCCTTCAGCTGGAGTGCGGGAAACAGCGTCTGCTGCTAGCCCTGGTGCCGCTACTGCTGGGCTCGCCGCTGGCTTGGCAGGAGGGGTTGCGGCAGCAGGTGGGGCTGTAGCAGCAGGGTGGCAGGCTTGGTTGCATGGCGAGACTCCGAGCCACCAGCAGGAAGCAGCGGGGAGGTGATGGAAGAGGAAGGACGGCCAGAGCCGCAGCCAGTGGCGGAGGAGATGAGTGTTGACTCCAGAATACTAGAGTCAGCAGTACTAGCGTCAGCGGACGCAGCGAGCGACTTGGCTACAGATGGTACAGCCTCAGCCATGCAGACGGTGCAGGAGGGCAGAGAAGAAATAGGTGAAGCAGCAGAAGCAGCAGAAGCAGCAGAGGCAGCAGAGGCAGCAGAGGCAGCAGAGGCAGCAGAGGCAGCAGAGGCAGCAGAAGCAGCTGAAACAGCAGACGCAGGTGAACCAGGGCCAAGCGGAGCAGCAGTTGCTGCTGCAGGCGGCGTTGGTGCAGGGGCAGCAGTGGCGGCAGGAGCAGTGGTAGGAGGAGCCCTAGGCGCTGCTCTTTCCCGGGAAGACTCCAGAGACCAGTCCGGAGGGGGGTCGAAACGAGCCACCCCTGTGACCCCCCTGGGTGGTAGTTCGCCCGTATCTGCAGGGGAGGAGGGCGGCAGGAGAGGGGTGAAGGCGAAGAGGAACAAGGTCTCGAGTGAGGAGGTGTCAGGGGGGAGTGGGAGGGGAGCGAGCAGCGGGACTGGAAGCATGGGGCGCAGTAGTGGTGGCAGCAGTAGAGACACGGTCCCACAGCAGCAACTACAGCAGCAAAGGCAGCAGCAGCAGCCGTGGTCCAAGCAACCGCTATCAGGTCACGGCGCCAGTGGCATGCCTCCCATGCCTCCCATGGGTCCCATGCGCAGCAACAGCGAGCTGCCCCCCCTCCCCCACCGCAGCGGCAGCGGCATCCCCCAGCCCCTGCGCAGCAGCAGCGGCCTTGCCGCCCTCAACGCCTCCACCAGTAGCAACCTCCTGCAGCGCGCCGCCACGGGCAGCGGTGACCGTTGGATCTTCCACTCTGGCGCCGATCGGGACCAGCTGGTGGAATCCGACTCCAGTGACGATTCTGAGACGATGAGTGGGAGGCTGGAGGGCGGGCTAGGGGACTCGTGGGGGAGAGGGAGAGCAGGGGATGAAGCAGGGTCGTTCAAAGTGGGGAGCTTGGCGAGCCAGGGGTCTAGAGGGGGGAGCATGAGCCCAGTGTCCGAGATCGGGGGAGCACGGGGCGGCGAACTTAGGAGGGAGAAAGAAGGGCGTGAATTGGCAGGGGACCCCTCCTCGGCCTGGGAGTGCGGGCGGGTCGAGAAAGTCGCGGCTAGGGAAGAGATCTCCCAGGGGGTCCTCGCTGGGCGCGGGTATGCTGGAGAGGGTTGCGGGAGGGATGGCGGACAGCAGAGGGAGTTTTGGGGCAGGTGCGGAGATCAGCAGAGGGAGCAAGAGCATGAGGGGGCTTCCGGTGGAGGGGTTGACTGGTGCAGGGCCTAGTGGGGCCTGGAGCTCGTCTGAGGGCGAGGGGAGCATGAGGGGGGGGGTGGGTACAGGAGCGGCAGGGGCGGCTCAGCCTGTGGTGGTGGGGTTTGTGGGGCCGGCGAGGCCCGGTACCCCTGTTTCGCTTACTAGGCTCGGGTCTGGGGCTCCTGTGCTTAGGCCTGCCACTTCTGGGGGGCTTTTGCTTGAAGATGTGGGGAAGTATGATGACTGGGTGGTGTATGAGAGCGAGGGGAGGAGGAGGAGGTGCAGAGTAGGCAAGTGGGGGGGAGAGGGAGAGGGGTGGTGGAGAAGAGAGTAGTGCAGGAGGGGGGGGGGGCGGTTGTGGATAAGAGGGAGGTGAGGGAGGGGGTACAGGCACGGGCTCAGGATGTGGCTTGGCAGAGGCAGCAGCAGGGGAGTGGGCACCAGCACCGCCAGCAGCAGCAGCAGGTGCCGGAGTGGCAGCAGGAGTGGCAGCAGGAGTGGGTATAGGCGCAGCTGCGGGGGTGATAGCTGGGAACATCGGCCGGAGAAAGGAAGCAGAGAGGACGTGCATAGAGCAGGGGGGGATGACTCAGACTCAGACTCGGAAATAAAGCGCGAGGCAGGATGGGGGGGTGTTTCCCAGCAGGGCAGTGGGTTTAGGTTCAGCAGCCAGGGGGAAACGCCTGTTGCTGGGAATCAGCCAGGGGGCTTCAGGCAGGGGCAAGGCATGCGCCCCAGCCCCCAACGAGCCCCGGCCGTCGTCGCCCGGCCTCTCCCTTTTGCTTCCAAGTCCCGTTCCTCGGGGGCCCCTCATCCGCAGCAGCAACTCCCCCCTCGGCCTGGTGGTCCTCCCAATGCCCCCTCCCAACACGCCCCTTCCCAGCATGCTCCTTCCCAGGCTCACCCGCTCTCATCAGGAGCAGCGAATAAGCCTCGCATTCCCCCCGTCCCCCCGGCTTATGGGTATGCCGGCTCTGCACAACCTCCTGTGTATGCTGCGCCTGCTGCTGCGTCGGCAGCTGTGCCGGGTACCGCTCCGCACCCCTTCGCACCCACTGCTTTTGCTGGGGGGCCCGGAGGTCCCACTACAGGGCAGGCAGTGGGGCAGCAGCAGGCGCAGCAGCAGTCGTGGGGGGGTTCTGTGGCTGGATTCTTTGCAGGGGCCAGCGCGTTTGTGTTTGGGGCGAAGCATGACGGGCATGCAGGAAAGGAGGCAGGGAGGGAGGCGGGGAGGGAGGCGCAGCAGGGGGGAGATGCGAGGCAGGCTGGGGAGGCTGGAATGGGGCTGAGGGATGGTGAGCAAGAGGGATCCGGGGCAGCAGGTGCAGGTGTAGCAGCTGTAGCGAGTGGTAGTGGGGGCAGTGGCAGTGGTAGTGCCACGCGTAGCGGCAGTGGCAGTGGTATGCGCCCTCCTCGCCCTCCGTCCCTTGCCATCCCAGGAGCAGCAGGCGCTGCCACTAGTCCTGGTGCTGGGCGCCACACCCCCCCCACACAGCCAGGGGCAAATACAGAGTCTGCAGAACCAGCAGCAGCGGTTGATAGACATGCAGCAGAGGGCGGGCATGAGGCTATCATGTCCCCCATTGCCTTCATAACAGTGTCGCCGCCTAAGGGCACAGGGAGCAGGGGCACAGACGCTGCATCAGTGCCAGGTAGAGCAGCAGCAGGGGCAGGAGGGCCAGCAGGAGGGTCAGCAGGGGGGTCAGCAGGGGGGTCAGCAGGAGGGTCAGCAGGGGGGTCACCTATGAGAGCAGTAGGAGGGGTGGCAGAGGCAGGGTCAATGGGTCAACAGCCCGCACAGGCCCGGCTTCGCTCCCCTCCTCCCCGCACGCCAGAGGAAGAGGCCATGGGTCGGGTCTCTGGTAGTGCTGCTGCTGTGCCGGTAGGGGTAGGGGCAACTGAAGCGGGTAGCGGGCAGGGTTACCGGCCAGGGTCGGGATTCGGCACTGGGTGGAGTAAAGGGTCTGGTGTTAAAGCAGGTGGGGCTGGTGCCGGGTGGGGAGAGGAGAGTGAGGAGGAGAGTGAAGAGGAGGAGACAGAGGAGTCTGAAGAGTATGAGCATGAGGAGGAGGAGGATGAGGAGGATGAGGAGGATGAGGAGGAGGAGGAGGAGGAGGAGGAGGTGGAAGAGACAGAAGAGGAGGATATGGAGTATAGCAGTGAGGAGGAAAGTGAGGAGGCAAGAGAGGAGGCAAGTGAGGAGGCAAGTGAGGAGGCAAGTGAGGAGGAAGAGGAAGATGAGGAGGAGGAAGACGAAGAGGAGGAAGAGGAGGAGGAGGGTGCAGAGGCGTGGGTGGGCAGGCCGCTACTTGCACATTCACAGGCCAACACACCCACGGCATACGGGGGCATGAAGACACCAGATGCCATAGGGGGGATCGTGTTTATCAACGAGTATGGCGCTGCCCCGCCCTCCCCTGCTATGGACACCAACTCGGTGGGTGGGGCAGGGGGGATGGGTGGGGCGACCACGCCTCTCAGCGGAACAGGGGAAGATGGGCGCGTGTTTGTGGTCTTCAATAAGTCTCGGTTCTCACCCACTGCTGCTGGTGCTGGTGCTGCTGGTGCTGGTGTTGGTACTGATGGGGATTTGAGCGGGGAGGGGCAGATCATGCGTGGTGGCCTTTCTGCAGGCACTAGTGGTTCTGGTCCCCTAGTGGTTCGGATTGAGAGGGGGGAGGGAGAGGAGGAGAGTGAGGAAGAAGAAGGGGAGGGTGGAAGTGAGGGGTGGGATGGAGGGGAGAGTGGGGAGGAGGAGAGTGAGGATCAGAGCGGGACAGAGGGAGAGAGTGAGATGGAGGGGAGTGAGGAAGGGAGTGGGTTTGAAGGGAGTGGTGAGGAGGAGAGTGAGGGGGAGAGCGAGGGGAGTGAAGGGGAGGAGAGTGGGACTCTGGGGAGTGAGGTGAGGGAAGGTAGGCAGGAGGGTGAAGATGGGGATGTGAGTGCGGTGGAGAGCGGTGCTTCTGGGGGAAGTGAAGAAAGCAGTGGGGAGGATAGTGAGGAGGAAAGTGAGGAGGAGACTTTGGAGGACAGTGAGGAAAGTGAGGAGGCGAGTGAGGAGGGGAGTGAGGAGGGGAGTGAGGAGGGGAGTGAGTCAAGCTTGAGCCCTGTGGGGAGTTCAGACGAGGGGGAGACTGAGTACGTGGGGAGTGAGACAGAGGAGAGTGAGGAGGAGAGTGGGAGTGAGGAGGGGAGTGACGAGAGTGGGAGTGAGGAGGAGAGTGAAGAGAGTGGGAGTGAGAGCGAAGGGACTGAGAGTGGGAGTGAGAGTGATGGAAGTGAGAGCCAAGAGAGTGATGAGACAGGGTCAAGTGAGGAAGACGGCACAACTTTGGACGGCACAATGGACGGCACGCTGGACGGCACGCTGGACGGCACCCTGGACGGCACGATGGACGGCACTGTGGGCGGCACAATAGACGACAGGACGCTGGATGGAACAGTGGATGTGACTTTGGGAGGCAGTGACACTATGGAGAGGACTTTTACCATTGAGGAGACTGAGACGGCAGTCAGTGGAACACTGGGAAGGAGCGGGACTATAGAGGGGAGTTACACTATGGAGGGGACAGAAGCCATGGGGAGAACTAACACGTTCGAGAGTGTAGGCCGGACTGAGACGTTTGAGGGCAGTGGGACGATGGAGAGAAGTGATACTATGGAGGGGAGTGATACTATGGAGAGGAGTGGCACTGTAGAGGGAACTGAGGCTATGGGGAGGACCAACACTTTCGAGACCTTGGGGGTGACTGAAACTTTGGAAGGCAGTGATACTATGGAAAGTAGTGATACTATGGAGGGAAGTGGCACTATGGAGGGGAGTGACACTATCGAGGGGAGTGGCACTGCAGATGGTGCAGGAGCAGCAGATAGAACCCTCACCCTGGAGGGAACTGAAATCTTGAGCGGCAGTGAGAGGGGCAGGAGGCAGAGGAGTGCCACTGAAAGCGGTAGCAGCTCTTATCACGAGAGCAGCTTTTCAGAGGGGAGTGAGGCGAGTGAGGAGAGGGATAGTAGTGATGGGACCGAGAGTGTGGAAGCTAGTGGTACTTTAGAGGATAGTGCTACTATGGAGGATAGTGACAGTATGGAGGGGAGTGAGGCTGTGAGCAGGAGTGCCGCTAGCAGGAGCAGAGGAGGCTATAGTGACGATGTGGTGCTTATAGAGGTGGCTACTGTAGCGGGGTCTAGAACCAGTGGGACTGTGTCAAGTATGCGAGGGGTGAGTGAGACGGGTAGTGACTTGGGGAGGAGTGAGATGGGGAGGAGTGAGAGAGTGGGGAGTGGAAGGGAAGGTAGTGACACGGAGGCATCAGAAACAGAGGAAAGTGAGACAGGCAGGAGTGGGAGCGAGGGGAGCAGCAGTGAGCGGAGCGAGGAGAGTGAGAGCGAGGGGAGTGAGGGGAGTGGGAGTGATGCGAGTGGGGGTGATGAGCGTGCAAGTCACAGCTCAGAGGCGTCGGAGTATCACTCCCACTCACAGAGCAGTGCGGGGTCCGATTCTGAAAGCGGCTCGGAGAAAGGAAGCTTCCACTCTGGTTCCCACGCAAGCAGCTCACACACAACACTGACTCATGATTCTGCCTCGAAGATTTCAGGTTCTGGAGATGGCAGGTCGGAGAGCGAAGGAAGCCCGCCAGAGAATGAGTCTGGCGAATCAGATTCTGAGCAGCTGTCCAGGTCAGATTCTCACCCTTCCAGGTCAGCATCACACCGTTCCAGGTCAGCATCGGATGCATCTGAAGGGGGAGGAGCGAGCAAGAGCAGGTCTGCGTCAAGCCTTAGCCACTCTGCTGCTAGTAGCAAGTCCCCTGGCACAGAGTCATCTGCTGGTAAATCCTCTGGTAGGGGGTCGTCTGCAGGGTCGGCTGCCAGCAAGTCTCCCGGCACACAGTCGAGAAGTCAAAGTGGGTCTGAGGGGAGCGGGTCTCATGGTGGCCGGTCGCGTGGTACTGAGTCGCAGCGCAGCAAGTCAGAGGCGAGTAGGTCGCCGGATGGTGGGCTGGATGCAGGTGGAGAGAGTGAGGGGAGAGGGGGGGGGGGTAGTGCGGAGGGCAGTGAGAGTGAGACGGGGAGTGATGGCCTGACGGACGGGATGACTGAAGGGACAAGTGTGACGTCCAGTGATGAGGCGAGTGAGAAGGAGAGCGAAGAAGGGAGTGAGGAAGGGAGTGAGGGAGGGAGTGAGGGAGGGAGTGAGGGAGAAAGTGAGGGAGGGAGTGAGGAAGGGAGTGAGGAAGGGAGTGAGGGAGGGAGTGAGGTGACAGCAGAGACATCAGAGGATGGTAGTGAAGGATCTGGGGAGGGAGAGAGCGAGGGATCCAGTGACATGCACAGTGAGGGGTCCAGGGATATGCACAGTGAGGGGTCCAGCCGTGCTGACAGTGTGAGCGACGGAAGCGAGGGGAGTGAGGGGAGTGGGTCTGTGGTGTCAGGGTCAACCAACAAGCCCACAGAGTCAAGGGCGGATTCAGAAGCAAGGTTTGACTCGGACGGAGAGTCGGAACAGCCCTCTGAGCTAGAGGAAAGTGTCGCTACTAGCACTGCTGTTAGTGCTGCCGGCGGCAGTGCTGCTGCCAGTGCTGTTGCCAGTGCTGCTGCTAGCACCAGCCCCACGGGTGCTTCTGAATCCAGCCGGCAGCTCGGGACGCCGACAGGTGGCGCTGCATCATTGGCGGGTGTGATGGGATCGCCAGTGGGGGAGGGGTGGAAGAGGCCTCTCACTGTTAAGGTGGGAGGAAGCTCCCAGGAGGCTAGTTCTGAAGAGGAGGAGGAGGAGGAAGAGGAGGAGGAAGAGGAAGAGGAAGAGGAAGAGGACGAGGAAGAGGAAGAGGAAGAGAGTGTGGATGCCACTGGAAGTGAGGAAGAGGAGGAAAGCTATGTTGGGGATGATGATGATGAGGAGGAGGAGGATGAGGAGGAGGAGGAGGAGCAGCAGGAAGAGAGTGTGTTTACAGATGACCGGAGCTCAGAGGGGAGCAGTGTTTCAGAGGGGGAAGGGAGATCGGAACAAGAAGAGAGTTCAGGGGGAGAGGAGGGAGCGGATGAGGAAGAGGAGGGGAGCAGGAGCAGTGATGATGAGGCGTCAGGTGGAGGAGCAACGAGTTTGGGCAGTGAGGAGGGGGAGCTAGAAGGGGTGAGTTCAGGAGATGAAGGGGCGGTAATGGGGCGGAGCTCGGGGAGTGAGGAGGAGGAGAGGGCGGTGCGGATGCTGCGAGCGGAGAGCAAGAGGCGGTTTGATGCTGTGCTGGGGCAGCTGAAGGTGCTGCTGAAGAGGGATCCCCAGGGGAGTGAGGAATTCGAGGAGGGAAGTGAGCATTCTGAGGGGAGTGAGCACTCGGAGGGGAGTAAGGGTGATGGAGTGAGTGCCGAAGGTGGGAGGAGGGAGGAGGATGATTACAGGTCTGCTAGTGAGAGTGAGGGAGAGGCGCAAGAGGAGGATGAGTATAGGTCTGAGAGTGAGGGTGGGAGTGAGGGAGGGAGTGAGGGAGGGAGACAGGAGGAGGAGGAGGAGGAGGAGGAGTGGGTGGAGGAGGTTGCGAGGGTGTCAGAACGAAGTGGGTCGGAGGAGGAGGCGTGGATGGAAGAGGAGGAGGAGCAGTCAGAAAGGGAGGAGGAGAATGGCTCGAAAGGTAGGGTGGCGGAGCATGATTCTGAAGCAGAGGAGGAGTATGATTCTGAAGCAGAGGCGGAGGGTGGCAGTTGGGACGGACAGGAAGGCCAGAAGCTTTCTCAAGATGGCACTGGTGCTAGTGATGGTGCTAGTGGTGGTGATGGTGGTGGTGATGGCTTAGCTGCCATTGCTGCTGCTGCAGCTGCTGCTGCTTCATTTCCGGAGGGTATCACAGCTGATGCCGCTGCACACAGCCACAGCATGCACAGGCCACAAGGAAGCGAGGGGAGAGCTGCAGAGGTGCATCCTCCTGCCGTTCTCCAAGCAACACCTGCCCCACCCGCCCCACTAGCCCCACCCGGCCCACCCACATCCCCAGCACCCCAAGCATCCCCAGTGGGCCCCACTCAACGGATCCACCTCCCGCAGCCGCCCACCACGCCCTCCCTGCAGCCCTCCCCCCCGTCCCTCGCGTTCCGTCGCTCCTTCAAGCGCCCCATGCCTCTGCGCCCCTCCTCCGCTTCCTCCCGCCCCGCCAACCCCTTCGCTCAAGGGCCGGGCTCGGCCACTTCGACACCGCAGAGCATGGGGGGGTCGTCCGGAGGGTCCACTCCCGCAGCGTTCCTGCCCCTGATCTCCCGACCGGCCTGGAGCCGCCTCAAAGAGCATCTGGCCTTGCTCCAAGTGCCCCGGGTGATGATGGCTTGGCCACTGGTGCTTCCAGCCGTGCTGCTGCTGCTCCGCCCCGTGGTGGTGGTGGTGGTGCTGCTGCTACCGGTGCTGCTTATGAATTGGCTGGCCTTGGCTCTGCAGGTGAGTCTCCCGTCGCCCTCCCCTCTTCCCCTGCTTCTGCTTCTGCTTCTTCTGCTTTTGGAACTTCTGTTTCTGGTTCTCCTGTGGTTGCTGCTGCACGTGTCTCTCCTGCTGCTCCTGCTGCTGCCCCCGTTGCTGTCCCTCCTGCTGCCTCTGCATCTGTTACCTCTTCTGCAGGTCCCAGCACGGGAACTGCAACAACCGCAGCAGCTGCACCAGCTTCAGCACCTGCTATTGCCAGGTTATCCAAGGCAGGGGTTGCCTTGACCGCCTCTCCTGCCTTATCCCCAGCTGTCTCGCCTGCTGCCTCTCCGGCTGTGTCGCCCAAGCCTGCTGCCGGCTCCTCGCCCTCTCGCGGTGTCTCAGGCTGGACCTCCCTCTTCCGCCCACTCTGGGGGCCAGCAGCGTCTCCAGCAGCTTCTCCTGCTGCCGCTGGTGGTGCTGCTGGTGCTGCTGGTGCTGCTGCTTCTGGTGGTGCTGCTGTTGGTACTTCTGCTGCTGGGACTGTTGCTCCAGCGGTTGCAGCTAATGCAACGGAAGGTGGTGGTGTCTACACGCCCAGTGCTGCTCCCTCTGTCACTAGTGCGACTGATCCTGCTGCTGCCCCCATTGCCGCTGTCGCCTCGGGTCCTACTGCCTATCCTGTTGCAGCTGTTCCCGCACCAGCAGTTGTTTCGTCCTCATCAGCAATACCTGCAGTAGCATCGCCACCAGTTGCACCTGCACCAGTAGCACCTCCACCATTTGCACCTGCACCAGTTGCACCTGCACCAGTTGCACCTGCACCAGCTGCACCTGCACCAGTTGCACCATCCGCAGTTGCACCTGCTCCTGCACCACAAGCAGCACCTGCGCCGGCAGTAGCAGCTGCAGCCGCAGTTGGAAGAAAGACCGCCCCCCCTGTCTCCTCCTCACCTCATCTCCCCACACCTCATCATCACCCGTCCCCCCCTCACTACCCCCCTCCTCCTTCCAGGCCCGACTCCCCTCTTCCCTTGTCCGTCCCCCCCGAGCCTGTTCCCGCAGCCATCCATCCCATGGACCCGCGTGCGCATCCATTTGTCCTCTCTCCTCCTCATACTACGCCCTCTCACACCCGCCCCTACTCTGCAGTATCCTCCTCTCCCACGGTCCTGCATCCCCTGGACCTGCGCGCACATCCAGGTCCAGCCTCCCTCACCTCCCAATCCTCCACAGTACCTCCCGCTCCCACAGTCCTTCACTCGCTGGATCCATGCGCTTCCCCCACCCCTCACACAGCAGACTCTCTGTCACCCAAAGCTGCCTCCCCGTTGTCAGGCGCTGCTCCTGCTTCTCCGCTCGCTTTCCTCTCGTCCATATTTGGCGGCGGCGCTGCTGCTGCTGCTGCTGCAGGGGTGGGTCCAGCAGCAGAAGAGATGCTGGATGCAAGGGTAGTGGGAGAGAGTGCGGCTGGGAAGGAAGGGATGCAGCTGCTAAGAGGCAAGTGATGGACCAAGAAGCAGAGGGGACAGGGAACCATGGCGAGATTGGTCCCCCTGGAGGTGTGCTGGTGCATGGCTTGTCGGCCGATTCTGATACCATGTCGACTGGATCAAGGCATGATGCTGATTCTGCTGCTGACGTCGGTGCTTATCCCAAGGGCAAGTACGCTGCTGCCTTGGTCCCTCCGGCCTTAGAGCCAGGTGTTGCAGGCAGCTCCCAGGGTTCCTCCAGCCGCCCAGAGTCAAGGGAGTCAACGGAGTCAACGCGGTCGAATGATTCACCTGAGAAAGCACAGTCAGTGACGGGTGACGCACCTGTGGGGGGGGGCGAAGCAGCAGCTACTGAGGCGTGGGTGCGTGCGGGCAGTGGAGAGGGAGGGAGGTTGAAAGGAGGCTTGGGAGGAGGTTTGGAGAGAGGCTTGGAAGGAGGTGTGGAAGAAGGTGTTGTAGAGTGGCCAGTGGTATTGCCACGTGGTGGCATGGATGGGGGAATAGAGAGGGGCATTGGAAAACAGGTGGATGGAACAGGTCACATTGGAGCAGTGGAAGTGGTGGCTGCTGGTGACTCAACAGAGCGGTCTCTTATAAGGGGGTCAGTGAATATGGGCCCTGCAGTTGTGGTCGGTAGCATAGAGCGGGTTTTAGTCGCTGGGAGCGATACAGATAAGCAGGTTGGAAGCAGCGAGGGTGAGAGTAAGGGGAAGGGCGAGGAGAGTGGGAGGATATGGAGGCTGAGGGAGAGAGTGAGAGTGGTAGTGGGGTTGGGGTAGAGGAGAGGGAGGAGGAGGATGAGGAGGAGGGTGAAAGTGTTGTGGCGGATAGTTCTTATAACGGGAGCACACTTGAGGGAGGGGGGAGTGGGGGAGAGAGTGAGGGTAGTGAGAGGGATGCAGAGGGGAGCGAAGAGGAGAGTGAGAGTGGTATTGGAGAGGAGAGTGGGAGCAGTGTGGGGGATAGTGAGGATGAGAGCGAGGGGGAGAGTGAGGAAGGGAGTGAGGAAGGGAGTGAGGATGGGAGTGGGGGGAGCACCACGGGAGAAAGCGAGGGCAGCAGCAGCGAGACAGGGAGCAGCAAGGGAGAGAGTGAGGGAGATAGTGAAGGGAGTGAAGATGAGAGTGAGGGGGAGAGTGAGGAGAGTGAGCGGGAGAGTGAGGGTAGTGTCACTGAGACGGACGGAGTGACCCAAACGAGTTACTCAGAGGAGAGTGAAGGGGAGAGCGAGGGGGAGAGTGAGGGGGAGAGTGAGGGGGAGAGTGAGGGGGAGAGTGAGGGGGAGAGTGAGGGGGAGAGTGAGGGGGAGAGTGAGAAGGATAGTGAAGGAGGGGAGACAGAGACAGAAACCGAGGCACAGACAGAGACGGAGGGGCAGAGTGAGATGGTGGGAGGGGAGGCGGACAGAGAGAGCATGGTGACAGATGAGGGGGTGCTTATAGAGGTGGCGAGTGTGGCGAGTGTGGTGGGGAGGAGTGAGGGGAGGAGTGTGGGGAGGAGTGTGGGAATGAGGACTGACAGCCTGCTGATTGAGGTGGAGAGTGTGGTGGGTGGGGAGAGTGTGGTTGGAGGGGAGAGTGTGGTGGGGGGAGGGAGTGTGGTGGGGGGAGGGAGTGTGTACGAAGGGGAGGGTGCAATTTTAGAAGAGGGAGAAGAGGCAGAGAGAGCAGCTGAAGAGGTCGAAGGGAGTGAGGTTAGTGAGAAGAGTGAGGGGGGTGAGGGGAGTGAGGGGAGTGAGGGGAGTGAGGGGGGTGAGGGGAGTGAGGGGAGTGAGGGGAGTGAGGGGGGTGAGGGGAGTGTGTGGAGCGAGCATATCAGTGGCGGGGAGGGATCGGATGATGACAGAGAGAGTATCAAAAGCGAAAGTGAGAGAATGGATGTTGCGAGTGAGAGGGACGACAGTCACAAGGAGAGTAGTGAGCGTATGGAGGCTGAGGGTGACGGTGAGTTGGGTGATAGTTTTGACGAGGGTGAGAGTGAACACGAGAGGGGAGTGATTGTTGGTGGGCATGTAGAGGCAGTGCCAGAGAGTGCACGTGGGGCTGATGCTCTGGCAGCAGCAACAGCGGCAGGGACAACAGCAGCAACAGTAGCAGGAGCAGCAGCGACAGTGGCAGAAGCAGAAGTGCTTGTGTCAGTGGCACCTGAAGAAGACACACCCGGCGCGAAGTCTGGCGAACCAGCTGAGTCTGCGGTGACACCAGCAGCAGCAGCGCCAGCAGGAGTAGCAGCAGCGCCAGCAGCAGCAGCAGCACCATCAACGGCAGCAGTAGCAGCAGCACCACCACCAGCAACGGCAGCAGTAGCAGCAGCGCCAGCAGCAGCAGCACCACCAGCAACGGCAGCAGTAGCAGCAGCGCCAGTAGCAGCAGCACCACCACCAGCAACGGCAGCAGTAGCAGCATCAGCTGTACCACCAGCAACGGCAGCAGTAGCAGCATCAGCTGTACCACCAGCAACGGCAGCAGTAGCAGCATCAGCTGTACCACCAGCAACGGCAGCAGTAGCAGCATCAGCTGTACCACCAGCAACGGCAGCAGTAGCAGCATCAGCTGTACCTGCTACAACAGCTGAAGCTCGCATGGTCGGGGCTGCTGATACCTCAAAGTCAGCTGACGTGGCAATGGCTGCTGCAGTTCCGAAGGCTGCAGACGTGGCAAGACCTGCTGACGTGGCCAAAGCTGCTGCTGTGGCAAGGGCTGCTGACATGTCACTAGCAGCGCTGATGGCTCGGACGCCTGATGCCCGACCGGTGACGCCGGTGCAGCGCAGGACATGGCTGGACGTGCTGCAGAGCCACGCGGTGCTGTCAGAACTGGTGAGTTGATGCTCCTGTCTGTAGTGTGACAGGCACTAGTTGTGCTGATGCCACGGACGCCCGATGCGCGGCCGGTGACGCTGGTGCAGCGCAGGACATGGCTGGACGTGCTGCAGAGCCACGCGGTGCTGTCAGAACTGGTGAGTGAGTGGATGGATGGACCCCCCTGCTTAGTTGCTACAAACGCTCTGGCAGGCGCGCGTTTAGCATTTGAACGCTAGCGTTCGAATGCAAACGTTAAACGGACCCAAAAACGCAATCGCTCGCTGGGAACCTTTCCAGGGTGCCCCTCCGAAAAAAAGGCGAAAAATGTCACCGCGAAATCAAGACTTGGCTAATTCAACGCGACATTCGCCAAGTCCCAGCTCCAAACCAAGTCGTCAAAATTCACCTCCCAACAACCCCCCCCCTTTCAACCGCACTCCACACATCGTCAACTAGAACATCCAACCTCTCCTCCTCACATCTCATAGATCCACGCAAGCTCGCAATCCCCTCCCCCGTCAAAACCGCTTACCCAAACTGCCGTGCGCCATAACCGTAGCCACTTTTCCACCTTTGCTGCCATACCTGAGCCACGAAATAACATTCAGTTAAGGGCGAGGGCCCATGTCGACCCCTCTTAGCAATGCGGACGCCGCTACGGCGTCCGCATCTTCTAATGTAGACGAGGCGGATAGGAATCACGAGGTTTATAAGTACTTCCGCGTTCTAGACAAGGAGGCCGGCGCCACACAGAAACATGAGTGTCGCTTTTGTGGGCTTTTGTGGGCTTTTGTGGGATATGTGATGTACATGACATATATATGAAGATGCATACTTAAAATTCTCAACACCTTTTTTTGGAGCCAAATTGCGTGCTGACAGAACCCCCATGTTTCCTTCCCCCCTTCCCTGCAGGAAAAAATTTCCCCTGCCCGGGCAAAGTTTTTACCCCTGCCCGGGCAAGCGTTTGCCTAGTGTTCACAGACACGCTGCTGAGTGCTGAGCGTTTAGCGTTCAAATGCCAGGGTTTAAAACGCTGGCGTTCAAACGCTAAACGCGTTTGTAGCAACTAAGCCCCCCTGTAGCATAGTGTAACAGGTGCTGGCTGCACTGATGGCAAGGACACTCATTCCATGCCAGGTTGGTGGCTCCAGTGCAGCACAGGACATAATGGAGGCGCTGCAGGGCTGGTGACTTCTGCCATGAGGTATGGAGACTGGAAGTACAGTGCAGTGCAGGGAATGGTCTTCTTCAATGTTACGTGCAAAGTCGTGCCTTGTTCCCGTTCCTTGTGCCCATTACCCTCTCTGTTCCTCTCCAGATGACCGATGAGGACATGGGTGCTCTCCAGTTCCTATGCTCCGTTGACTTCTTCAAGTCGCAACACAGCATGGTATGGGGCATGGCACTACGATATGAGGCAAAGGGCACCGTGGTGCATGCCATGGCATGCCATTGGTCTGGCACGTCAGCATGGTGTATGGCATGGCATAGCATGGGGGGGGTTCATGGACCATGGTCACATCTCCCTTTTCTGTTATGCTGCTCCTTTGTATTGGCTTTCTTAGTTGGTGGTGCTTGGTTCTTGTTGTTGTCGTTTTTTTTTTTTTTTTTTTTTTTTTTTTTTTTTTTTTTTTTTCTTCTTCTTCTCTTTAATTCTTTTATTTATTCCGTCCCTGTGTTTACCTGCCTTGCCCTGTCACCCTTGTTCCTCCTGCCTTCAGGACTTCCGGGTGGACTTTCTATTTGATGCAAATCCATTCTTCACCAACGCATATGTATGCATCCCTCCCTTTCATTTGGTGCTAGCACTAATGCTAGTCTTGGCTATGCCGGCCTTCGGCGTTTTTTTTTTTTTCCCCCCCCCCCCCCCCCCTCTGACTCTCAAGTCTTCCTTTTCTTTTTTGCTCATTCGAATTGACTTGACACTGAGGCCGTCTTTTTCCAAATGTTGACGCTTTCCTTCTGCCTCCCCTTGCGGCTTCCACTCTTTTCCCCTATTGCGGCGCGCAGCTGAGTCGCGTCTTCGCTGTGGCGAGAAACCCTAAGGCTGATCCGATCATCATGGCCATCCATTGGTATGCCCATAAAATCGCTGCTCACCCCGTTGTGCTTCACCTGACTTTTTTGTCGACTCCAAAACCCCGACCCTCCCCATCGCCCCGTCGACCTCCTTGCCTCTCTGGCTTTTGAGTCGACTCAAAGGTCAGCGAGAAACCCTAAGGCTGATCGGATCATCATGGCCATCCATTGGTATGCCCATAAAATCGCTGCTCACCCCGTTGTGCTTCACCTGAATTTTTTGTCGACTCCAAAACCCCGACCCTCCCCATCGCCCCGTCGTCCTCCTTGCCTCTCTGGCTTTTGAGTCGACTCAAAAGTCAGCGAGAAACCTTAAGGCTGATCCTATAATCATGTCCATCCATTGGTATGCCCATAAATTTGCTGCTCACTCGCCTTGTACTTCACCGTTTTTCTTTCAAGCCTTTTCCCCGCTGCTGGAATATGCCTATTTTACTGCTTCCACGCGCACCGATTTCTCATATTCTTGCCACATTCTATGTCCATGTCACATTTAGCACCCCCATTGCCTGGCAGCCCGGCAGGGACCTCACTAGGCAGTGCAGAGGGTGGGTTGGCTGGGCGGCTGCTACTCTGACTCACAGAGGGAGGGGTGCAGACTCACATCTCTATGCCTCCTGCCTGCCTCCCCCTCTCCCTCGCAGCACTCCCATCGCCTGGCAGCCCGGCAGAGACCTCACCAAGCGCCGCAAGGGGTGGTTTGGCTGGGCGGCTTCCAGCGTTGACAAGCGCAGCTTCTTTACTCTGTTTGCCTCGCGATCTGAGCTCTCTGCTTCAGAAGCCAATGAGGAAGCAGTGGTGAGTGGTGCTAGTAATTAGAATACGATTTTTGAGTCGACTCAAAAATTAGAATACGCCTGCTTCTGCTGCTAACAGGGGTAAGGGCTGCTGGTGCTGCTGTCAGGAGCAACCTTTTCACTCTCTTTTCATCTCGACCTCACCAACGGCATGCTAGACCCTTACCCTGGGCCTTTCCCTTTACCCCATACCTTTACCGCCCCCACCTTTTCCTCCCTTCCCCTCCTCTCTCCCCTCCCTCCCCCCTCTCCCCCTTCCCCCTCCCAAAATGTGCATCTGTCAGCGCATGACGATGCTAGAAGAGGCTGCTCTCACCAGTGGATTGCTAGCGTCTTACCCTGTGCCTTTCCCATTACCGTATGCCCGTGCCATGCCTTTTCCCCCCATGTGTCACCCACCAGCGCATGAAGATGCTGGAAGAGGCTGCTCTCACCAACGGACTGCTGCAGTGAGTTGCCGCCCACCCATAAACCTTTTCGGCGTGCATCCTTTTTCATCCAAAATAAAAGTTTGCAGCAGGAAGTAAGAAGGAGAAGAGGTTGTGCAATTCTATTATTTTCATAAATCTCTGAATATTCATTTCATGCTTTTGTGATTATACTACTTACCTGTGCGTGTGCTGAAGTCTGTCAGATGGTCACGTGGTCTCTAGCTGCCTGTGATGCGATGCTATGCAACCCCGTTGGTCCTCCTCAGATGCATTTTCGCTCTTACATTTCCAACCTCCTTTTTTCAATGCAGGTCGTCAGATGGCCACGTGGTGTCTAGCCTGCTAAGATGGTACACTGTGAAGTCGCTGGGGGGGGAAGTGGAGGAGGAGGAGGAGCGGGAGGAGAATGAGGAGGAGGAGGAGGAGGAGGAGGAGGAAGAAGGGGGGGAAGTAGAGGAAGAAGCAGAGGAAGACAAGGAAGAGGTGGAGCAGGAGAAAGAAGAATTGGGGAGCACTGGAGGTAGAGGGAGCGGTGAAAAACATGAACCTTCTATGATGCCGTTCAGGAGTATGAGTGGTGAGGAGAGAGAGAAGGGAGGTGCGGAAGGGAAGGAGGGAGGTGAGGAGAGGGAGGGGGGAGGTGAGAAGAGGGAGGGGGGAGGTGAGAAGAGGGAGAGGGGAGGTGAGAAGAGGGAGGGGGGAGGTGAGGAGAGGGAGGAAGGAAGTGAGGAGGAGAAGGAGCGAGATGAGGAGAGTGAGATAGAGAGTGTGGCTGTGCAGGAACACGGGAAAGAAGATGTGAGGTTGATGGTGCGGCGAGGAGGGAGGGAAGTGAGGGAAGGAGAGGAGGAGGTGGCGCAAGGAGGAGTCGAAGCGAGTCAAAGAGAGGAGGACGCGAGGGAAGGCGCAGGAGGCACAAGCACAGAGGCGGAAGCAGACCGTGTGGAGTTGGAAGAGGCAGCTGCGGCTGCTGAGGCTGGACAGACGGTCTGGAGGGAGGAGGAAGAGGAGGCAAAGGAGGATGCAGATGAGGAAGAGGAGGAGGCAAAGGAGGATGAGGAAGAGGAGGAGGAGGCGGAGGAGGAGGCGGAGCTTGGAATGCTTGTAGAGCGAGTGGTGGAGGGGGAAGAGGAGGAGGCAGAGGAGGAAGAGGAGGAGGCGGAGGAGGCGGAGCTTGGAATGCTTGTAGAGCGAGTGGTGGAGGGGGAAGAGGAGGACGCAGAGGAGGAAGAGGAGGAGGCGGAGGAGGAGGCGGAACTTGGAATGCTTGTAGAGCGAGTGGTGGAGGGGGAAGAGGAGGAGGCAGAGGAGGAAGAGGAGGAGGCGGAGGAGGAGGCGGAGCTTGGAATGCTTGTAGAGCGAGTGGTGGAGGGGGAAGAGGAGGACGCAGAGGAGGAAGAGGAGGAGGCGGAGGAGGAGGCGGAACTTGGAATGCTTGTAGAGCGAGTGGTGGAGGGGGAAGAGGAGGAGGCAGAGGAGGAAGAGGAGGAGGCGGAGGAGGAGGCGGAGCTTGGAATGCTTGTAGAGCGAGTGGTGGACGTGAGTGCGGGCGTGGAGAGGGCAGAGTGGCACACGGAGAACGCCCCGGGAGGAGTAGAGGAAGCAGAGGCAGAGGCAGCTGTGTGTATGATGCCTGTGCCTGTGGTGGCCATGGCAGCAGGAATGGGTATCGAGGGGGGGAGAGACGAGAGAGGGAGGGGGCAGAGTGAGACGGAGGGGAGTGACGTTGAAAGGGAAGTGTGGGCAAGTGAGAGGACTGCAACCATCGAAATGGAGGGCGAGCGAATGACGGCTGAAGATGAGAGATTGTTGGCTGGTATCGAGCGTGAGGGGAGTGGCGATGTGTACAAGGGGAGTGGCAGTGGGGTGAGCAGTGACGATTTGAGTTTTGAGGCGCGTCAGTACAAGGGGAGTGGTAGCAATGTTAGGGGGGGGGACGATCTGCGAAGCTCCACTAGTAGCGTTGGGGACATGCCAGGCATGCTGACGGGATCAGGCGTGGGAGGGGGAAGAGGAGAGGCAGGTGGAGGGGGAAGAGGAGAGGTGGGTAGAGGGGGAAGAGAGGAGATAGAAATGCAAGTCAAGGGGGGTCAGGAGCAGGCACGAGGGGAGGGAGAACGGGAGGTGGGGAGGTACGGCCAGCATCTGTTGGACAGTGAAGAGGAGGGGGAGGGAGGAGGGCGGTCATGGGTGGGGGTCGGTAGTGTGGCCAAGAGGGGTGGGAAAGAGGGCTGTGCCAGGCGATCATCGAGAGATGAGGGGAGTGAGGGAGGGAGTGAGGGGGTGAGTGAGGGAGTGAGCGAGGTAGGGAGTGAGGTATGGAGTGAGGGGGGGAGTGTGGGGGGCAGCAGTGGGCAGGGGAGTTCAGTGGAGGGCGAGCTAGCGGACCTGATGCATGCAGTGGACGGCAAGCCATACCCCTTCTGGCATGCTGTGGCCGCTACAGGCAGGGCGGGCCTAGAGGGCCTAGAAGGTCGAGAGGGTCGAGAGGACCTAGAGGGCCTAGAGGCGCCTCAGAAGGATGCTACAGGTTGGCCGGGGGGTCAGAGCTTGGCTCAAGTGCGGACTCAGCCTGCTACAGACGGCGGTATGCAGATGGAGGGCGCTACAAGTGGGGGCTATGTGGCACATGCGATGGATGGTATGCCATTCAATGCCGCCGCCGCCGCAGGGGCTGCCGTGCGTGCTGAGAGTCTTCCCCATGCTGGCGTTGCTTCTGTCTCAGCTGCCGCTGCTGGTTCTCGTGCAGCAACGCCAATGCCTGGTGTGCATGTCACTGCTTCTTCTTCTTCTTCTGCTCCTGCTGCTGCTGCTGCTGCTGCATTCTCGCGAGCAGGAACACCCATGCCAGGAGTGCATGCTGCTGGTTTACCTCCTCCTGCTCCTGCTCCTCCTGCCGCTCACCCTGCAATGCTTTCCCGCTCCACAACTCCCATGCCTGGACTGCATGCTGCTGCTGCATCTCCTCCTCGTCCTCCTCTTCCTCCTGCTGCTGCTTCTCATGCTGCAGTGCCTGCATCATTTTCCCGTGCATCAACGCCCATGCCGGGTGTCTACGCTGCCCCCTTGCCTCCTGCTGCTGTCGCCTCGTCTGCTTCTGCTGTGGGCTCTCGCACAGTAACGCCCATGCCAGGGGTCTACCTTCCGCCTGCTGCTGCTGCTGCTCTTCCTCCCCACCCTCCCCACCCTGCTGCTACTCACTCCAGTCCTTCTCGTGCGTTCTCCCGCACAGCAACGCCCATGCCGGGAATCCATGCTGCTGCATCTGCTGCTGTCCCTGCAACTGCTACTAGTGCACCTGCTCTCTCCCGCACAGCAACGCCCATGCCTGGAATCCATGCTGCTGCATCAGATTCCGTTGCTCCTGCGTCTGCTCCTGTCTTTCCACCTGCCTCTGCTGCACCTGCTCTCTCCCGCATGGGAACGCCCATGCCAGGAGATGCCGTTGCTGCCGCCCCACACCCCCCTCCTGCTGCTGCTCTGGCTGTAGCTCCTGTATCGTTCTCCAGAGCGGTAACGCCAATGCCTGGTGTCTATGATGCCTCGTACCCAGCGTCTGCTGCTGCTGCTGCTGCTGCTGCTGCCCCCCCTCCTCCTGCTGCTGCAGATCCTGCATCATTTTCTAGGGCAGAGACGCCTATGCCAGGCGTCTACGACGCCTCGTCGTACCCAGCTGCTGCTGCTGCGGCTGCTGCTGCTGCTCCTCCTCCTCCTGCTGCTGCTGCTGTTGCATCTCTTGCTTCCTCCCGGGCAGTAACACCAATGCCCGGTGTTGGTGTTACTCCAGCTACGCCAATGCCAGGCATGGGTGAGCAAAGCAGGCAGCACGCAAGCGCATTTCCCCCCAGGGGCCACTCGCGAGGAGCAACTGAGGGGGCTGCCTTTTTCACCCATGCTGCGGGGCACTCAGGGATCCAAACTGCAGGGCACCGCAATTCCCACAGCCAGGCAAGGAGCCACAGCCGCAGCCAGAGCCACAGTCAGAGCCAGGGGGGGTGGGCTGGTGCCCACACGCATACTCGAGTTAGTGCTGCAGGTGCAGGTGGTGCTGCTCAGGGGGTTTGGGCTGGCATGGAGGGGCCAGGCGCAGTGGGTGGAGCCCAGAGTGGCTGGGAGGTGTGGAGTGAGGTGCTGCAGGGGGGGTATGGGCCCGGCCCGGGGGGCAGTGGGGACGTAGCAGGAATTGGGTATGGGCCGGGCCCGCTGGGCAGTGAGGGCGTCGCAGGAATGGGGTATGGGCTGGGGACTAGTGGGAGAGCAACAGAAGTGGGTAATACTAATAATACGTTAGGGAGTAGTGTGGGTGCAGCAGGGATTGGGTATGGGCCTTGGCAGGAAGGGGAGGAGGGGGTTGTTGGGGGGAGTCAGCGGCTGGTGGTGGAGAGGGGGGTGTGGGAGGGGGAGGGCACGGAGGGAGAAGGGGGAAGCAGTGTGGCTGACAGCCTGGCAAGCAGCATGGATGGGGGTGGCATGCCGGGTATGGCTGACTCAAGGTTCGAACGGGCTCTGAGTCAGTCCCTGGCACGTGCTGCTGTGAGCATGTGTTTTGATGGTAACGTACTTGACCACTCCCAACCCCATGCCCACTCTCGCGCCCGCTCCCACTCCTACTCCCGCGCCCACGCCCACTCTTACAACCTCGGCCACAGCAACGACTTTTATCGCGACCAGGGGCGTTTGCAGAACTCGGAGACGGACGAGGAGGAGGAAGAGAGGCCGTGGCTGCGTATCAAGCCCCGTGCCACTCAAACCGGCACCGAGCGCAGTGGCCAGCCTGGCAGGCAGCACAGCTTGCAGCAGAGCCGGCAGCAGAGCCGGCAGCAGAGCACGAGCAGCGTCAGCAGCCGGCATACCAACAGGACAGAGAGTATCCTGTGGCCCGCAACTGCACCCAGTTTTGGTGCCGCCGTCGCTCCTGCTGCTGCTGCTACTGCTGCTGGTGGTAGCATTGCTGCTGCGAGTGGTACTGCTGTGGGTTGGGAGGGGGCAGGGGGAGATGTGCGGCGAAGGAGGGGGCTCTCCCTGGGTGGAGCTTCAGAGATTTCGTCCATCCGGAGCAGGACACGTGGCAGGGGCGGGTCTCTCAGTGACGTCACCAGTCTGGGGATGAGTGAGGGGGAGGGAGTGACAGAGAGTGAGGGAGTGAGTGAGAGAGGGAGTGAGGGGGAGAGCACGAGGTCAGTTGAGGCAGAACTAGGGGATCTGATGGATGCCTTGGATGGGGAGCTCTCTCCCTTCTGGACTGCCCATAACAGTGTGGGGAGCTTGGGCAGCGTTGGAGGGGGCAGGACTGGCAGCATTGGCAGCGTTGGGAGTAGTCTGGGGAGGATGCTGAGGGGGAGTGTGGGGAGTTTTAGGTCGGTGAGAGAGGGGGAGGGGGAGGGGGGAACGGGCGTGTGGGGGAGGGAGTGGCTGGGAAGGATGTGGGCGGGACAGAGGCAGGGATGGGTGAGGAGGAGAGGCAGGCGAGGATGGATGTGTGGAGAGAAGTGATGGGGAATTACTGGGAGTTGAGAGGGGCAGGTGCACATGGTTTTAGGCAGGAAGGTGCAGATGTTCACGCACATGCAGACGCACATATGCAGGCAGATGCAGAGACTGACTCATACCCAGGCAGCTATGATGCTGGTTACGACGACCGGCCCGGGATTGCCCGCGCAGATGTGGTGGATGCGATGCATGGTGATGGCACGGGTCCGAGCATAAATGGAGAGGTGCAGGGCATGTATGTCCGAGATGACCTACGGGATGATGGAGAGGAGCGAGGGGAGGAGGTTGATGGTGAGGAGACAGAAGAGGAGGAAGAGGAGGATGGAGAGAGGGTGGTGGTGGTGTTCAAAACGGCCACCAGAGCTGCAGTGGTGCATGCAGAGGGGAGCGATTTGAGCGATGGGGATGGCGTTGTTGATAGGGTAAGTGATGCTGACGTGGCGAGCTACGCAGATGTGGCAAGCGATGTTGACGTGGCACTTGACTCTGGGGTTGCAGACCCAGAGGACGGTGTGCTTAACGGCATGCATGACATGCGTGATGACGATGGTGGGGATGGTGGGGAGGATGGGGAGGATGGGGCGCTGCATGAGGAGGATCCAGAGGACGAGTTGGAGGAGGAAGAAGAAGAGGAGGAGGATGAGAGGGTGGTAGTGGTGTTTAAGACGGCAACCAAGGGAGCAATGGTTGAAGAGGAAGAAGAGGAGGATGAGCATGAGGACGTGAGAGTTGATAGTGCTGCCGACCATGGTCATGTCTCTATGTCCGAGCATGGGTCCCTGACCGATGGCCATCTTGATACGGATATCGAGGATGCTGATAACGAGTTTGAGGATGGTGAGAGGGTGGTGGTGGTGTTCAACCGACCCAGGACCGCTGAAAGGATGCTGGATATGGAAGCGGAGAGAGAGGATATGGAGGAAGAGGAAGAGGAGGAGGAGGAGGAGGAGGAGGAGGAGGAGGAGGATGCGGTGCTGCTAGGCAGTGTGGCTGGGGACGCGTTTCAAACAGGCAGCCAAACAGCCAGCCATGTGGGAAGTCACATGGGCAGCCCAACAGGGAGTCTCGTGGGTGAGGAGGAAGGGAGCGAGGCAGGGGAGATGGAGGAGGAGATTCATGCCGGTAGCGAGGATGACAGTATGGGGGATGGTGAGAGGGTGGTGGTGGTGTTTAACCGACCCAAAACAGCTGAGAAGAGGGAGGATATGGAGGAGGAGGAGGAGGAGAGGGAGGAGGATGGGGAGAGGGAGGCTGATGATGAGGTGATGCTAGGCAGCGTGGCTGGGGATGCGTTCCTCCAAACAGGCAGCCATCCAGGGAGTCATGTGGATGAGGAGCTTGCTGCTGGTAGCGAGGAGGGCAGTATGGAGGATGGCGAGAGGTTGGTGGTGGTGTTTAAGAGGGCGACACTTGCTGGGAGAGATGAGATCGAGGAGGAAGAGGTGGAGGAGGAGGAGGGTCGGAGTGAGAAGGGTTTGAAGCACCATTCGGATGGCTTGGATGTTGGAGAGGAAGAGCAGAGGGAGCATGAGGAGGAGGATGGGGAGGAGGATGGGGAGGAGGAGGAGGAGGAGCACGAGGAGGAGGATGAGGAGGAGGAAGGTTATGAGGAGGAGGAGGATGGGGAGAAGAGGAAGGAGATTGAGCGGTGGATTGAGGTGGCAGAGAGGGAGCTGGCGCAGCAGAGCCCGGGGGCTGGCAGCAGGCGCAGTGGCAGCGGGGTGAGCAGCATTGACCTGAGCTTTGAGGTTGACATCAGCAGGAGTAGGAGTAGGAGCAGGAGCACCAGTGGGAGTGGGAGTGGGAGTGGGAGTGGAAGTGGGAGTGGGAGTGGGAGTGAGAGTGAGAGTGAGAGTAGGAGCAGGAGCAGAAGCCACAGTGCGAGTGAGACAGGGGGGAGTGGGAGTGAGAGAGTGGGGGCGAGGGGGGGTAGAAGGAGTGGGAGGATGAGCACTGAGGAGGTGAGTGAGGAGGGATCAGAGAGAGTGGGGGTGAAGAACAGTGTTAGCAGCAGAAGCAGAAGCAAAGGCAGCAGAAGCATGCCTCGCAGTGGGAGGAGCAGAAGCAGGAGCAGAAGCAACCACAGCAGCAGAGCAAGAAGCAGAAGCATTCACAGCAGCAGGAGCGGGAGCAGGAGGAGGAGCAGGAGCAGGGGCAGGGGCAGCAGTAGAATCACGAGCAGCAGAAGTGGGAGTGGGAAAAGGGAGAGTGTGGCAGATAGTGCAAGCGAGGGGGTGAGTGTGGGAGGGAGTGAGAGGGGAGGTAAAACTGGGAGTGCGAGCACGAGAAGAAGCGATAAGACACAGAGCAGTAGTGTGAGCAAGCGAGAGAGTGACCACTTGCACGCGAGAGAGGGGAGGAGGAGTGTGGACGGGAGTGTGAAATCAAGTGAGAAAGCAAGTGAGAGCGAGAGAGGAAGTGCCAGCAAGAGTGTGAGTGGTAGTTGGAGCGATGGGACGAGCAAGCACAGTGCTACAGGCAGTGCTACAGGCAGTGCTACAGATAGTGCTAAGGGATCCGAGACTCAGAGTGGCAGTGAGCGGAGTAGTAGCATCACGGGGAGCAGCCGTGGAAGCGATGTGAGAGCGAGGGGTGGTAGCAGAAGCGGAGGAGAGAGGGCGAGTGGAAGCCAGCACTCTAAAGTCTCAGATAGCGATGTTTCCAGAGTGGGTGACAGGAGAAGTGAGGCCAGTAGCGAGCGAGGGGGTGTGGCGCAGAGTGTGAGTGAGCATGGTAGTGGGCATGGGAGTGTGCATGGAAGCAAACATGGGAGTGGCGTGTTGAGTGGATCACATAGTGTAAATGAGAGCGGCGTGCTCAGTGGGCTGCATAGTGAGGAGGTTCGGAGTGAGAGACAGAGTGTGACTGCCAGTGAAGGTGAGGGGGGTGGAAAGGGAACTGGGAAGGGCAGTGTGAGTGGAAGCGAAGGGGGAGGCAGTGCGGAGAACAGTGACGTGGAGAATGTACGGGGGAATAAGTCTGAGAGAGCAAGTGAGGGAGTGAGTGAGGGAGGGAGTGCGAGGGGGCGTGAGAGCCTGAGAAGCAGCAGAAGCCATAGCACTTACAGCAGCACGCACAGCATGGCAAAGAGTGAGCACAGCAGCCTACACAGTCAGCACAGCAGCCCACACAGTCAGCACAGCAGCCGACATGTTCAGCACAGCAGTACACACAGTCAGCACAGCAGCCGACATGGTCAGCACAGTAGTACACACAGTCAGCACAGCAGCCGACATGGTCAGCACAGCAGCACACACAGTCAGCACAGCAGCCCACACAGTCAGCACAGCAGCCCACACAGTCAGCACAGCAGCAGCACGCATAGCAGCAGGAGTGCGGCCAGCCGTTCTGCCAGCAGTGACAGCAGGAGTGGTGCGAGCAGCGGGCATGCGGCAAGTGATGCTGACGGTGCTGCTAGTGTTGCTAATGCATGGAGCAGAAGAAGCGATGCGAGTGCTGGTAGTGTATTCAGTCCAGAAAGTGGTGATGGCGCTGCTGGAGTCACCCGAGCTGACAGCACAGGCAGTGAGCGGTCCAGAGCTAGTGGCAGCATGAGCAAAACGAGCAGCGTGAGCAGAGGGAGTAGCAAGAGCAGGGGGAGCAGCATGAGCAGCCACAGGTCGAGTGCTAGTGGCAGCATGGGGAAGAGGAGCAGTGTTAGCAGGGAGGGGCAGCTTCAGCAGTCGTGGGTCGGATGGGGCAGCCATGAGGGTGGTTTCAAGGAGTGGTGAGAGTGAAGGGGAGGATGCGTGGGGAGCAGTGGAGGAGAGTGGAGTATTGGAGAGTGGAGTATTGGAGAGTGGAGTATTGGAGAGCGGAGTGATGGAGGGAAGTGGAGCAGTGGGGAGTGGCGACGGCGTGGAGAGGTTAAGTGATGAGGAAGAGGAGAGGGAGGGACAAGGGGTTGAGGTTGAGGATCAAGAGGGCGAGAGAGGTGGTGCAGATGATGTGTGGAGCAGTGACGGTGACGCATGGCTCGAGGCAGAGGCAGAGGCAGAGGCAGAGGCAGAGGCAGAGGCGGAGGCACAGGAGGTATCGGAGGGTGCAGGCGTGACTGTTGATGGCCTAGCAATGAAGACAGGAGCAGGGGCAGTGGAAGGAAGGGGCGTAGGGGAAGGGGGAGGAGCAGACACAGAGAGCGTGGATGGGGCAAGGGGCATCCTGGAGAGTGACGGTGAGGAGGAGGCGAGCTGGGTCAGCAGTAACTTGTCTGCACTGCAGCAGGTGAAGCTGGCGCCTGGACACGTGGCAGATGGTGATTGGACGGAGGAGTGGGAGGGGGAGCAGCAGCAGGTGCATGCACAGGGCGAAGAGGGTCGGGCAATTGAGGATAGGGAGTTGGGAGGGAAGGAGGGGCCTGTGGAAGGAGATATGGAGGTTAATCGCCAGGTGAATGATCAGGTGGCTCAGGAGGGGGTGCAGCAGGTGGACCATCAGGTGAATTATCAGGTAGTTGAGCCAGCTGGTGAGCAGCAGCAGCAGCAGCAACAGGGTGAAAGGGAGGCAGCAGACGGGGCAGCAGAGAGCATAGCAGGAGTGGGCAAGGGTGGGGTCATGCGGCAGATCGACGAGGATGCGTACGAGTATGATATGGGGGGTGATGTGTATGAGGGTGAGCTGGACTGGAGCAGAGATGTGGGCGATGGGGGGGTGGGCATGCAGGGGTGGTCGGGTGAGTGGACGAGAGAGAGTGAGGTGTGGGGTGGTGCGAGTGGTGTGACAGGTGCTGGTGTGGAGGCAGGGGATGGTGTTGAGGCCGAGTTGAGTGTGGAGGAGGGAGAAGGCATGGTCAGCAGCGCATCGGACGGGGCAGGTGGGGTGGTGGAGCTGATGGGAGAGTTGGAGGGGACAGAGGGCAGTCCCTTGGATGCTGATGCTGGGATGGCAAGAAGTGCGCTGGAGTTTGAGGAGTCAGTTAGTGCTGTCGCTATAGCTGCATCCAGTGGTGCTGGTGGTGGTGCTGGCAGTGGTGCTGGCAGTGGTGCTGGCAGTGGTGTTGGCAGTGATGCTGGCAGTGATGCTTCGAGCAGCAAAAGTGATGAGGAGGGGGGCGAAAAAGAAACGGCTGTCAGGGATGTTGAGGAGGAGGAGGCTGAGGATGAGCCAGCAGAGGAAAGACAGGAGGAGGAGACTGAGAAGGGGGCAGAGCAGGAGGTGGAGGAAGAGGAGGAGGAGGAGGAGGTGGAGGAAGAGGAGGAGGAGGAGGAGGAGGAAGAGAGGGAAGAAAAGGATGAAGCACCAGAGGGGGCAGAGGGGGCAGAAGGGGCAGAGGAGGACGAGGCGGAGTGGAGCGACTTGTCGAGTGAAGCGGAGTGGAAGCAGCATGGAGCTGGCGGCCCCACCCAGTCCCCTTTTGCCCCCTCTCCTCTCCAGTCCATCAGCCCCTACGCGTCTCTCTCCCCACTGCCATCCAACGCCCCGAGCTCAGTTGTGCCTCTAGACTGCTCTGCTGTCAGCCTCGCTCTTGAACGGCAACAGGAGCAGCAGGAGGAGAAGGAGTCAGGGGCAGAATCTGGGGAGGAAGTGGAGGAGGACGAGGAGGAGGAGCAGGAGGAGGAGGAGGAGAAGGAGGAGCAGGAGGAGGAGGAGGAGGAGGAGGAGCAGGAGGAGGAGGAGGAGAAGGAGGAGCCGGAGAGGGATGAGGGGCTGGAAGGGCAGGGCGGCACATTCTCTTTTGCCGCTGGCAGCCCATCTCTAGCGCTGCCCCTCGCCAGCCCTGCTGCGTTGCCTCACGATCGAATCTCCGGGGAGTTCGGAGCTCTGCAGTGCCGCTCACCTCTCCAGAGTGAGGCGGACGAGGCTCAAGTCTCTCTTCCCACCACTCCTGCGCCTCAATGCGCCTCTCCCCATTCCTCTCCTGGGTCTCAGTGCGCCTCACCCCATTCCTCTCCTGGGTCTCAGTGCGCCTCACCCCTTTCCTCTCCTGGGTCTCAGTGCGCCTCACCCCATTCCTCTCCTGGGTCTCAGACTCAGTGCGCCTCTCCCCACGCATCTCCTGCCTCTGCTTTACCCCTTCTTCCTGCAACCCACCCTGCTTCGTCACCTGCCAGCCCTGCTGACGTGGCAGTCTCTGCTGATGTCATAACGGCTGGGCATGACGCCACTGGCCCACCTGAAAGCCCTGTTCTGGAGTCACGCTCGATTCCAGCTGCTGGTGTTGCCAAATCACCTGACACGTCACCTGGGGCTGCACCTGACATGGCACCTGGAAAAAGCTCTGCCTCTGTTGAGGTGCTCCCTTCAGGTGCTGTCTCTGTTGTTCTGCCCTCAGGTGCTGTTTCCGTCGTGCTACCTTCAGGTGCCGTGTCTGTCATGCTGCCTTCAGGTTCTGTCACTGTTGCGCTGCCCTCAGGTGCTGTCTCTGTTGGTTCAGGTGCCAGCCCTGATTCATATGCTGTGAATTCACCTGAGGCAGCTGGAACAAGAATGGATCAGAGTGAGTGGGAAGACTTGAGAGTGGCAGAGGTTGAGGAAAAGGGGGAGAGTGAGAGTGGGAGTGAGAGTGTTGGTGAGAGGGAGAGGGATGGGGAAAGAGGGGAGGCGTATGAGGGAGAGAGTGAGAAGTGGGAGGAATCAGAAGAGTGGAGCGATGCTGGTCTGGATGCGGTAACCAGTGATGCTGGTGATGCGGTAACCAGTGAAGCTGGCGATGCGGTAATCAGTGATGCTGGTGATGCGGTAACCAGTGATGCTGGGGATGCGGTAACCAGTGAAACGGGCAATGCGTTAACCAGTGATGCTGATGTGGCTGTGGTCATCAGCAGTGTTGGTATGGAGGAGATCGGGAGTGGAGGGAGCGTTGAGGAGGCAGGAAGAGAGGTAGGGGAGAGTGAAACGGCAGGTGATGAGGGCGGGGAGAGTGATGTTAGTGACAAGGAATGGTCTGACATGGATGGAAGTGAGAGCGAAGGGAGTGAGAACGAGGGGAGTGAGAACGAAGGGAGTGAGAACGAAGGGAGTGAGAACGAAGGGAGTGAGAACGAAGGGAGTGAGAACGAAGGAGTGAGAACGAAGGGAGTGAGAACAAGGGAGTGAGAACGAAGGGAGCAAGGCAGAAGCTTCTGAAACTAGGGTGAGAGAAGACACTGATGGGGAAACTAGGGATGCGAGTGAGGGGGAGGAGAGTGGGAGAGAGTCACTCAAGAGGGAAAATGAAGTGGTCACAGAAGAGGCCACGGTGGCCGCGAGTGAGGAAGCAAGGGAGGCAGCAAGCAAGGAAGCAAGCGAGGCAGCAAGGGAGGAAAGCAAGCAGCGAGGCAGCAAGCGAGGCAGCAAGCGAGGCAGCAAGCGAGGCAGCAAGGAGGCAAAGCAAGCGAGGAACGCAGCAAGCGAGGCAGCAAGCGAGGCAGCAAGCGAGGCAGCAAGCAAGCGAGGCAGCAAGCGAGGCAGCAAGCAGGCAGCAAGCGAGCAGCAAGCGAGGCAGCAAGCGAGGCAGCAAGCGAGCAGCAACGAGCAGCAAGCGAGCAGCAAGCAAGGCAGCAAGCGAGGCAGCAAGCGAGGCAGAAGCGAGGCAGCAAGGAGGCAGCAATTGAGGTGATGGAATCTCAAGCAGACACTGATGCTTCCATCGCGGTCCCAGCCTTGCATGCTGCAGCAGGTGGAGCCGATGATGACTCCCATTCTGAAGAGGGCCAATGGGGTGTGGCCGAGGGAGCAGAGGAGGGAGCTGTTGAAGGGACAGAGGTGGGGAGTGAAGGAGTAGCGGAAGCTGCTGAAGGGGAGAGGCGGTGTGAGCAGAGCGGAGGATGGGAGCCCTTTGGAAGCACAGTCGGGCTTGGTGGGTCGCCAAGCAGCTTCTGATTGACAGTGGGCGATGGAGCGACTTTTGAGTCGACTCAAGAGTTGACAGTGGGCGATGGAGTGGTGACACTGGAAGATAGCGAGTTGTTGGTAGCACAGGCAGGTGGGTGTTGGCAGCACAGAGAGATGCGACGCTAGAAGCAGCAGAGGCGGGGAGTGCAGTAGCAGCGGAAGCTGTTGAAAGGGAAGAGGCGGGTGCGAGCAGAGGGAGGATGTGGAGCCTTTTGTAGCACAGACTGGCTTTGTGGGTACGCAAGCAGCTTTCTGAGTTAAGTGTGGGAGACATGGCAGCAGCAGAGGCACGTGGGTTGTTGGAAGCACAGGGGATGAGACGCTAGCAGCAGAGGCAGGTGGCATGTTGGCAGCAGAAGGGGAGAGCGACGAGTGGAGTGATGTGGGGTCCGGTGTGGGTGAGTGGGAGGAGGATGGGCGGTCCGGAGGAGAGAGAGTGTGAGTGCAGGGGAAGGGGAGGTTGAGAGTGAGGGAGCAGGGGAGGCTGATGACGGGAGTGAGGGGAGATGGAGGAAGTAGGAAGGAAGAAGGATGGTGATGTGGAGAGAGATGAGGCCGAGAAGCAGGAGGAGGATGTTGAGAGAGAGGAGGTCGACGAGGAGTGGGGGAGATGGATGCCAGGGAAGGAGTCCTTGGCAGCAAAGAGCAGGAGGTGGTGCGAGCAAGCAGCACACTAGTGGCAGAAAGTGTGGGAGGAGACGGCAATCTGCGTGCTGATGAGAGGCGTGGGGATGAGGTGACTTTTGAGTCAACTCAGCAGTCTCCTCGGCGTGTGGGTTGAGGAGGACAAGGGCAGGGTCGTGAGGAGCTGGAGGTTCTGCAGACGTCAGTTGAGGAGGGGGGTGTGGAAGAGAGGAGGGGATGAGGAGGGGGGTGTGAAGAGAGGAGGGATGAGGAGGGGGTGTGGAAGAGAGGAGGGATGAGGAGGGGGGTGTGGAAGAGAGGAGGGATGAGGAGGGGGTGTGGAAGAGAGGAGGATGAGGAGGGGGGTGTGGAGGAGGAGAAAGAGGAGGAGAGGAGTGGAGGAGGAAGTTGCGGTGGCGATTTTGCATGCAGATGCAGAAGGGAGTGGAGTGGAGTATGAGAGAAGGAGCGAGAGCGAGAATGATAGGAGCAGGCGAAGGAGAGTGAGGGTGAGATGGAGAGTGAGGGTGAGATGGAGAGTGAGGGTGAGAGGGAGAGGGAGGTGAGATGGAGAGTGAGGGTGAGATGGAGAGTGAGGGTGAGATGGAGAGTGAGGGTGAGAGGGAGAGGGAGGGTGAGATGGAGCGGGAGAGTGAGAGAGAGAGCAAAAGCGACACTGAGAGTGGGGGAAAGAAAGAAGATGACAGTGAGAGGGGAAGTGTGAGTGTGAGTGTGAGTGGGAGTGAGAGTGAGAGCAAAAGGGACAGTGAGAGTGAGGTAGAGAGCGAAGGTGACAGTGAGAGGGGGAGTGAGAGTGCGAGTGAGAGGGAGAGCAACCAGGATGGTGAGAGTGAAGGGGGGAGTGAGAGTGAAAGTGAGAGGAGGAGTGAGAGCGGAAGAAGTAATGAGAGCGAGAGTGTGAGGGAGAGTAGTGAGAGCAGAAGAAGTAGTGAGAGCAGAAGAAGTAGTGAGAGCAGAAGAAGTAGTGAGAGCATGAGTGAGAAAGAGAGTGAGTGTAGAGAGCAGGAGGAGAGTAACATGGGCAGTGAGAGTGAGGGGGAGAGTGCAAGTGAAAGCGAGAGGGCGAGTGGAAGGGACAGTGAGAGTGAGGGATGGAGTGAGAGTGGGGGAGGAAGCGCAGACGAGCCAGTTGAGGAATGAGAGAGTGACTCATCCAGAAGAGAGTGATGCAGAAGAGGCTCTAGCCGGGTTGCACAGCGAGGGTTTGAGGGTTGGGGAGGCAACCCAGGAGGCACAAAGCGAGGCAGATGCTGCCGGTATCGCAGAAAGCGAGGCAGATGCTGCCCAGTATCGCAGGGGCTGACAGGGAGGTAGCGGCTGGGAGACAGGTGGCGGTTGATGCAGAGGCGGCGATGGGTGGAGATGCAGTGGCAGCGATTGGTGGAAAAGCAGTGGCAGGGGGGGTTCTATCAAGCAGAGGTGGGGCTTGGGCAGGAAGGAGGAGGAGGGGTTGAGTGGCTGCAGGGGCACACTGGAGTAGAGGAGGGTTAGTGAGGGAGGTGAAGGTGGAGGGCGAAACTGGGGGAGGTGGAGAGGAGGAAGATGGAGCAGGGGTGGGTGGCGTGGAAGAGGCTGGAGATTCAGTGGTGTCGACACAGAAGAGAGTGGGGAGTATGACGCCGCCGCTGCCGCTGCTGCTGATGATGATGAGGCGACTGCAGGCGTTGAGGTGTCTCAGCAGGAGGAGGCTTCTGCTGGAGTTGAAGCAGTCACCGCAGACAAAGCAGAAGCGGTTACCAGTGCAAGCAGTGACCTGTGCATTGCAGCGCCACTTGAGCTGTGGCGTCAGGAGTCCCACCTGTCTCGAGTCCTGTCTCGCTGGCAAGCGCCCCTGCTGTCTCAGCCACCCCTGCTATCTCAACAGTCCCTGCTGCTGTCATTGCTCCCTCTGCTCCCTCTGTTGCTTCTCGCCCTGCCAATTCCTGGATCCGCCCAGCGCACCCTTCTTCGCACTCCGGCTCTGATTCCGACTCTGACTGGTCCGACTCCGAACCTGCGCCCAAGCCTGTGCCGATCCGATCCTGGAGAGCAGGTGTGGCGAGCGCAGCAGCAGTGCCAGCAGCAGCACCCGCCCCTGTGCCTGCCGCCTCTCCTCGCCCCGCAGTAGCTGTGGGACGGCTGCGAAGTGACTTCCTCAACCGCTTCCAACAGCAGCAGCAGCAGCAGCAGCAGCAGCAGCAGCAGCAGCAGCAGCAGGAAGTGGAGCAACCCTCTGTGGCTCCTCTTACATCTCCCCAACAGCAACAGCAACAGCAGCCCTCTGAGCCTCCTGCTATGCTTTTTGAGAATTCTCAAGAGCAGCAGCAGGTTTCTGCAACTTCCCCTCGCTTCTCACAAGAAACACTACAAATAGCCACTGCTGACTCAGCTGTTGATGTGGAATTTGCTGGTGACGTGGAACAAGCTGCTGATGTGGAGCATGCAGCTGAGGGTAAAGCAGAATTAGCTGCTGATGGGCATGATGATGTGTTTGCCGATGGGGACGGGCCTGCACTTGTGGAATCTGCTGCTGACGTGGCGTCTCCTGCTGATGTGGATGCGAGGCCATCTTCTCCAGAAGGGTCAACCATCGGCATGCAAGATGCTGTTGATGTGGCATCTGATGTGGCATCTGATGTGGCATCTGATGTGGCTTCTGATGTGGCTTCTGATGCCGCAATCGCTGTGGCGTCTGGTGTGGCTGCTGATGTGGCATCTGATGTGGCTGCTGATGAAGCTCTGTGTGGGCCTGGAGGGGCTAGTTTGCTGCTGGCGAGTGGGGTGGTCGAACCCTTACTGGCGACGAAAAGGCGGGCAGAAGAGGTGGAATCAGAAGGAACAGAAAGAGAAAGAAGAAGTGAGGCGGAAAGGAGAGAATGCGGTGGGAGCAGAAGAATCAGAAAGACGTGAATTCGAAAGAGAAAGCAAGGTGGAAGGAAGAGGGAGGCGGAAGGGAGAGTGGTATGGAAGCAGAAGTGGTGGAGGCAGGAGAGGTGGAAGCAGGGAGTGACGTGGAAGCAGGGAGTGACGTGGAAGCAGGAGTGACGTGGAAGCAGAGAGTGACGTGAAAGCAGGGAGTGACGTGGAAGCAGAGAGTGACGTGGAAGCAGTGAGTGACGCGGAAGCAGAGAGTGACGTGGAAGCAGAGAGTGACGTGGAGGCAGAGAGTGACGTGGGAGCAGGGAGTGACGTGGAAGCAGAGAGTGACGTGGGAGCAGGGAGTGACGTGGAAGCAGCGAGTGACGTGGAAGCAGAGAGTGACTTGGGAGCAGGGAGTGGCGTTGAAGACAAGCAGCCAGTCTCAGTCCCAGCAGGTGAAGCCGCAGCGGCACCAGCCCCATCAGCACCTAACTCCGAATCTGACTCTGCAGCCGAAGCCGAGGGGGTGGAGCAAGAGGGGGAAGGCAAGCGGCGTGCCTTGGATGCGACAGGTGAATCCGCAGCGGCGACACCAGCCCCATCAGCGCCTAACTCCGAATCTGACTCTGCAGGTGAAGCCGAGGAGGTGGAGGAAGGGGGGGGGGGTGATGGCACAGAAAGGGTGCTGCAGGTGGGGGAAGCTGTTGCTGCTGATGGTGCCGATGCTGAGTCAGATGACGAAATGGCCAACGCTGACGTGGGTGCAGCTGTTGGTGCTGATGTGGCTGTTGGTGCTGATGTGGCTGCCGTTGATGCCGCCACTGGTGTGGGTGCAGCTGTTGATGCACTTGCTAATGCTGATGCGATTTGCGTTCGTTGACGCGGCTGCAGAGGTTGCGTCAAAAGCTTCATCTGATTCACCTACAATACTACCTGATTCACCTGCTGTGCCTCATTCACACGATGTGCCTCATTCACCTGCTGTGCCTCATTCACCTACTGTGGCTGAAGTTGTTGCTCTGCTTGATTCACCTCCGGTGCCCCATGCGCCTGCTGGGGCGGAACCACCTGCTTCTCCCCCTGCGTCTGACACGCAGTCAGTGGCTCCAATCGAGAGGGAGGAGGAGGAGAGGGAGAGGGAGGAGGAAGAAAAGGAGAGCGATGAGGAAAGGGAGGAGGAGAGGGAGGAAGAGAGGAAGAAGGAGCGGGAGGAGCTGGAGCAGAACGAAGATAGGATTTCGCCTGCTTCCCCTGCTGTTGCTGAAGCACCTTCTCTCAGCCCCGACTTCGCCCCTGCCTCTGACTCGCAGTCAGTGGCTTCGAGTGAAAGGGAGGAGGAGGAAGAGGAGAGGGAGGAGGAGGAAGAAGGGAGTGAGGAGGAGGAAGAGGAGAGGGAGGAGGAGAGGGAGGAGAAAGAGGAGCGGGATGAGGAGAGGGGGGAGGAGAAGGGAGATGAGATATCGCCTGATTCCCCTGCTGTTGCTGAAGCACCTCCTCTCAGGCCCGCCTCCGCCCCTGCCTCTGACGCACAATCTGTGGCTCCAAGTGAAAGGGAGAGGGAGGAGGAGAGGGAGGAGGAGAGGGAGGGGCTGGAGCGGAAGGGAGATGAGATGTCACCAGCTTCCACTGCTGTTGCTGAAGCTCCTTCTCTCAGCCCCGCCTCCGCCCCTGTCTCTGACTCGCAGTCAGTGGCTTTGAGTGAAAGGGAGGAGGAGGAAGAGGAGAGGCAGGGAGAAGAAGAGGAGAGGGAGGAGGAAGAAGAGGAGAGGGAAGAAGAAAGAGAGAGGGTGGAGCAGAAGGAAGACGCGATCTCGCCTGCTGTTGCTGAAGCGTCTGCTCTCAGCCCCGCCCTGCGTCTGACACACAGCCAGTGGCTCCATGTGAGAGGGAGGAGGAGGAAGAGGAGAGGGAGGATGAGGAGAGAGAGGGAGGAGGAAGAGGGAGAGGGAGGAGGAGAGGGAGAGGGAGGAGGAGAGGGAGAGGGAGGAGGAGAGGGAGAGGCTGGGGCAGAAGGGCGATGAGATATCGGCCTGAGTCCACTGCTGTTGCTGAATCTGCTTCTCCCAGACCTGCCTCCCCCCCTGCCCCTGACAAACAGTCTGTGGCTCGGAGTGAGAGGGAGGAGGAAGAAGAGGAGAGGGAGGAGGAGATGGAGGAGGAGATGGAGGAGGAGAGGGAGGAGGAGAAGGAGAGGCTGGAACAGAAGGAAGATGCAATCTCGCCTGACTCCCCTGCTGTTGCAAAAGAGCCTCATCTCAGCCCCGCCTCCTCCCTTGTGTCTGACGCGCAGTCAGTGGGTCGAAGTGAGAGTGAGAGGAGGAAGAGGGGAGGGAGGAGAAGGAAGAGGAGAGGGAAGAGGAGAGGGAGCATGAGAGGGTGGAGGAGAGGGAGAGGCTGGAGCAGAAGGAAGATGCAATCTCGCCTGACTCCCCTGCTGCTGCTGAAGCGCCTTCTCTCAGCCCCGCCTTCGCCCCTGCATCTGATGTACTGCTGGTGGCTCCAGGTGCGAGGGAGGAGGAAGAGGGGAGGGAGGAGGAAGGGGAGAGGGAGGAGGAGAAGGAGGAGAGGGGGGAGGAAAGGGAGAGGGAGGAGGAGAAGGAGGAGGAGGAGCCGAAGGAGGAGAGTGGGGGATTGACGGAGAAAACCGTGGGAGAGGAAAGAGGTTTGGAGGGAGAGGATGTGGAGGCAGAGAGGGTGAAGGACGAGAGTGTGGAGGGAGAGAGTGTGGAGAGAGAGAGTGTGGAGAAAGCGAATGTGGAGCTTGAGAATACTGGGGCTGGAGCAGTGGCAGTGGATGCTAGCAGCGCTGGTGGCGAGTGGATAGTCAAGGCTGTCTCAGTGGCAGTGCAGGCAACAGAGGGAGGAGAGCTTGGTGGCGAGCAGATATTTGATGCCGCAGAGGTGGAAGGAGGAGAGGCAGTGGACGGAGAAGCAAAAGTGGAAGAAAGAGCGGCGGAGGAAAAAGCAGCAGTGGAGGAGAAAGCAGCAGTGGCGGCAGAAGAAAGCAGCAATGGGGGAGGGGCAAGCAGCAATGCGGGAGGGGCAAGCAGCAGCAGCAGTTGATACAACAGCCCCCTTGGACACCATTCCCTCTCGCCCTGCCAATTCCTGGATCCGCCCAGCGCAGCCTTCTTCCCACTCCGGCTCTGATTCCGACTCTGACTGGTCCGACTCCGAACCTGCACCCAAGCCTGTGCCCATCCGAGCCTGGAGAGCAGGTACGGTATTGGCAGTAGCTGCTGCTACTCCTGCCACCTCTCCTCCCCCCCAGCAGCTGTGGGGCGGCTGCAAAGTGACTTCCTCAACCGCTTCCAGCAGCAGCAGCAGCAGCAGCAGCAGCAGCAGCAGCAGCAGCAGCAACATGCTGTGCAAGCCAGTCCTGACGCCTCATTTGTGCAAGCAGCTGGGGGCGCTGGGGGGCAGTGGGGGATGGCAAGGCAGAGGGGGCGATGGAAGCGGATCTGACAATAATGGAGGTGAAGGGAGAGGGTGTGACAATAATGAAGGTGAAGGAAGGGGGCTTACCTATGGTAGGGCATGAGAGAAGTCGCTGACAACTACAGAGGCTGAGGAAGAGAGAGAGGAGGAGGCTAAGGAGGAGATGGAGGAAGGGTATAAGGAAGAGAGGGGAGAAGGGGATGAGGAAGAGAGAGAGGAGGAGGCTAAGGAGGAGATGGAGGAAGGGTATAAGGAAGAGAGGGGAGAAGGGGATGAGGAAGAGAGAGAGGAAGAGGCTAAGGAGGAGATGGAGGAAGGGTATAAGGAAGAGAGGGGAGAAGGGGATGAGGAAGAGAGAGAGGAAGAGGCTAAGGAGGAGATGGAGGAAGGGTATAAGGAAGAGAGGGGAGAAGGGGATGAGGAAGAGAGGGAGGAAGACGTAAAGGAGGAAAGAGGAGAAGAGGCTAAGGTCGAGAGAGAGGAAAGGGCTCGGGAGGAGAGGGAGGTAGAGGCTAAGGTGGAGCGGGAGGAAGAGGCTAAGGCGGAGAGAGAGGAAGAGGCTAAGGCGGAGAGAGAGGACGAGGCTAAGGCGGAGAGAGAGGAAGAGGCTAAGGCGGAGAGAGAGGAAGAGGCTAAGGCGGAGAGAGAGGAAGAGGCTAAGGCGGAGAGAGAGGAAGAGGCTAAGGCGGAGAGAGAGGAAGAGGCTAAGGTGGAGAGAGAGGAAGAGGCTAAGGCGGAGAGGGAGGAAGAGGCTAAGGAGGAGAGAGCGGAAGAAGAGGCTCAGGGCGATGCTGTCGTGGCTGCCTCTTCCCCTCCCCCACTCTCCGCCCCTCACCCTCCCACCCTCCTCCCGTCAGCACAGCTACCCACACCTGCTGCCACCATCGAGCCTTCCTCTTCTTCTCCCCTCACCGCGCCTGCTGTCACTATCAAGCCACGCGCCCCAGACTCTTGGATGAGGCAAAAGAACCGCTCTCCCTCCGACTCAGGCTCGGACTCTGACTGGTCTGACTCCGAACCTGCACCCAAGCCTGTACCCATCCGAGCCTGGAGAGCAGGCACGGGGAGTGCTGTAGCGGCAGTAGCAGCAGTGCCTGCCGCTGCCTCCCCTCCCCCACCAGCAGCTGTGGGGCGGCTGCAAAGTGACTTCCTCAACCGCTTCCAACAGCAGCAGCAGCAGGCCCCTGCGACTTCTCCTGGACAACTGTCGACTGCTACTGGTGCTGCTGATTCTGATAGTTCTTCTGTTGCCACCACTACTTCGAAGGGCGGTGTTTCTGGTGGTTCCGGTGATGTGGTGGGGAGCAGCGACGCCAGCAGCAGAGACAGGCGCAGCAGGAGAGGTTGGGGAAAAGAGTGGAACGGAAGGTGAAGCAGCAAGATCAGATAACAGCCAAGCAGAGGGCAGTGAGAGTGTTGGTGGAAGGGCGAGTCTCGCAGGGCTGCAAGCAGAGACGACTCCAGAGGCACACAGAGAGAAAGAGGCAGAGGCAGGGGAGGATGGAGAGGCGGCAGGCGGTGAGGCAGTGGGACAGGCGGCAGCAGTAGAGGTAGTGGAAGAGGGGGTGGCGGATGCACCCAGCCCTGCAGCAGATGCACCTACTCCTGCAGCCGAGGAGCCATCACCTACCACACCCATTGCAGCACCAGAGGCCGCCTTTGCTGCTCCTTCCATCACCTCCCCTCAACCCCTCTCCTCCCCTCAACCTTCCACTCCTCTCCTCGCCACGCCTGCCATCACCATTAAGCCACGCGCTGCAGACTCGTGGATGAGGCGGCCCAACCAGGCCAAGTCCGACTCAGGGTCGGATTCCGACTGGTCTGACTCCGAACCTGCACCCAAGCCTGTGCCGATCCGATCCTGGAGAGCAGGTGTGGCGAGTTCAGCAGCAGTGCCAGCAGCAGCAGCCCCAGAGCCTTCCGCCTCGCCTACCCAAACAGCAGCCGTGGGGCGGCTGCGAAGTGACTTCCTCAACCGCTTCCAACAGCAGCAGCAGCAGCAGCAGCAGCAGCAGCAGGCCTCCCTGCCTCCTCTTAAATCTCCACAACAGCAGCAGCAGCAGCAGCAGCAGCAGCAGTTTTCTGTGTCTCCTCGTGTGCAACCTCACAGCCCCGAGGTTGCTGCTTCAGTTGGTGCTGCTGCTGCTGCGGATGATGTTGCTTCCACTGCCACCGCTGGCGGTGCTGCCCCTGCTGCTGCAGCTGAGAGCGCCGTTTCTGTCGGTTCTACCACAGTGGCAACCGATAGCGCCTTTACAGCTCCTGCTGCTGGTGCAGCAGCCGCTGTGGTTGTAGCCGCAGCTGCTGCTGTACCTGGTGTTATGCAGGGGAAGGAACTGGGAGGCTTGGGACGTGGAGAGGGCGTTGTAAGCACGGGAGAAGGGGGAGAGGGTGGAGAGGGTGGCCCAGAAGACGACGAAGCGGGTGGAGTGAGCATTGGTAAAAGGGGGCCAGTGACAGTGGGAGTGGAAGAGGCTGTGGCCGGGGGAGCAGAGACAGCTGCAGAGGAGGGCAGCACGTCAGCAGCCGAGTTGGCAGCAGAGGGAAGTGGGGAGGTGGAGAACGGTTCAGAGGCAGCAATGGTGGTGGTTGGGCCTGACGAAGAGAAGACAGGGGAGTTGGTGGGAGAGGGAAGGGCGCAGGCGGATGGGGGTGCGGAGGAGGAGGGTGTAGAGGAGGGGGGAAGCAGTGGGAGGACCAGCAGGAGTGGGAGGAGGGGGGGGAGCAGACTTGGGAGGAGGAACAGGGCGAAGAAGAAGGGGAGGAAGGAAAAGAAGACAAAGAAGAGGAAGAAGCAGAAGAAGCGAAAGAGGAAGAGGGAAGTGCTACAGAGGGCAAAGAGGAGTCTGAGGCAGAGGAGGAGGATGCAGAGGGAGAGGAGGAAGAAGGGAGTGAGGGAGGAGAGGCGAGTGAAGCGGGGTCCTCCGAGGAAGTGACTGTGGAAGTGACAGAGGAGTATGAGGAAGTTACGGTTGAAGCAACAGAGGAGTATGAGGAAGTCACTGTAGAAGTTACAGAGGAATACGAAGAGGTAACCGCAGAGGTGACCGAGGAATATGAAGAAGTTACAGTAGAGGTTACAGAAGAGGTGACAGAGGAATATGAGGAAGTTACTGTGGAGGTTACAGAAGAGGTGACAGAGGAATATGAGGAAGTTACAGTGGAGGTTACAGAAGAGGTGACCGAGGAATATGAGGAGGTGACTGTGGAGGTTACAGAGGAATACACTGAAGAGGAAGTTACTGTAGAGGTTACAGAGGAAGTTACTGACGAGGATGAAACTGAGGAGGCCGCAGAGGAGGCGACAGAAGCAACTGGTGGAAAAGAGGCAGAAAGCAACGAGGGACAAGAGGGGGAGCAAGAGGAAGAAGATGGGCAGCAGGAGGAGGAACACGAGGAGGAGTATGAAGAATACGAGGAGCAGGAAGAGGAAGAGGAAGTGGAGGAGCAGGAGGATGAGGAAGAGGAGGAAAGCGAAAAAGAGAGCACGAGCAGCAGCCCCAGCAGCACCGGAAGCAGCCCGAAGAAGAAGGCTGAAGAGAAGCAGGAGGAGGAGGATGACGAGGAAACAAAGCTAAGGAGGCAGGAGCAGGAGGAGCGCAACGCGGAGGAGCAGCGTAAGCTGCGGCTGCGCGTGGCCAGCATGAAGCGCTTCAACGTGGTGCTCGGGGAGCTGCGCCTGCGCCAAGGCATCCGCGGGGAGGGGGAGGAAGACGGCGGTGGGGAGGGAGCGGGGGATGACGGGAAGGGGGCAGGGGCCTCTGGTGGTGCTGGTGGTGGTGGCGGTGCTGCAGTGGTGCATGCGGGGGGTGGCGGCAGCAGCAGTGGCGCCTGTTGCGCTGCCTGCCATGGCTGTTGCTGGTCGACCCAACCCACACAGTCCAGGAAAGGTATGATAGTAAGTTCGTTTTGAGTCGACTCAAAAGGTATGATAGTAAGTTCGTTTTGAGTCGACTCAAAAGGTATGATAGTAAGTTCGTTTTGAGTCGACTCAAAAGGTATGATAGTAAGTTCGTTTTGAGTCGACTCAAAAGGTATGATAGTAAGTTCGTTTTGAGTCGACTCAAAAGGTATGATAGTAAGTTCGTTTTGAGTCGACTCAAAAGGTATGATAGTAAGTTCGTTTTGAGTCGACTCAAAGGTATGATAGTAAGTTCGTTTTGAGTTGACTCAAAAGGTATGATAGTAAGTTCGTTTTGAGTCGACTCAAAAGGTATGATAGTAAGTCCGTTTTGAGTCGACTCAAAAGGTAGGACTCATCTAACCTTGTGCAGAGGCACGCCTTCCACTCATCTAAGCTTGTGCCTCTCCCAACCGCCACGCACCGGGACATGTGCCTCCCTCTCGTTCCTCCACCCACCCCTCTTGCAGCGGTCGCGCCTGCTGTCTATGGTGGCGGCACAGGGCCTGCATGTGCCCGCCGCCAGTGCGGTGACCAAAAAACTAATGCCTCTCCTTCTCCCTCTCTCTCCCTCCCTCTCCCTCTCCCTCTCCCTCCCTCTCCCTCTGACTCCCTTTCTCTCGTTCCTCTTTGGCCCCTGCAGCGATCCCGCCTGCTGTCGATGGTGGCGGCACAGGGCCTGCACGTCCCTGCCAGCGCGGTGACCAAGGAAATCATGGGGCTCACTGGGAGTGCGGCCAAGGGGGGCGCTGGGAGTGTGATGAAGGAAAGAAAACGTCCAGCTTTGCTGGATGACAGCAGTGAGGAGGAGGAAGACGAGGAAGAGGAGGAAGTAGAGGAGGAGGAGGAAGACGAGGAAGAGGAGGAAGTAGAGGAGGAGGAGGAAGAGGAGGATGATAATGATGAAGAGGAGGAGGAGGGGGATGATGAGGGTGAGGGTGAGAGTGGAGAAGAGGAAGAGGAGGAAGCAGAAGAAGAGAGGGAGGAGGAAGAACATGAGGAGGTGGAGGAGGAAGAGGAAGAAGAGGAGGAGGAGGAGGAGGCGGCAGAAGAGGAAGAAGAGGAAGAGCAAGACGGAGTGGAGAACAATGAGAATGAGGAGAGTGAGGGGAATGAGGAGGAGGAGCAGGACCTAGAGCGCGAGGCAGGGTGCACAGATTCGGAGGCTGGGGAACACGAGGAAGAGTACTTGGGCGTTGACGCTTGGAGCACAGAGGACGTGGGGGAGAGTCAAACCGAGCAGGAGGAGGAGCAGCATCCAGAGCACGAGGCAGGGTGCACAGACACAGAGGCTGGGGTGCATGAGGGAGAGTACTCGGGCACTGACGCTTGGGAGATGGAGGACGGGGAGATTCAACCTGAGGAGGAGCAAGAGGGCTTGGAACCGGGCAGCAGCAATTCGCGGGACAATGTAGGGGCAGAGGAGGGGGGTGTGGAAATGGCTGAGCTGGGGAGTACCGGGGAGGAGCAAGAGGGTTTGCGAGTGAGTGGTGACGATTCGAAGCATGGCCTAGGAGCGGAGGAGGAGGAGTATGTGGAAGTGGTTCAGCTAGGGAGTCCTGGCGGGGAGCACGGGGAGGAGGATGTGGAGATGGTTAGGCTTGGGAGTGCTGGAGAGGAGGCAGGGGGTGCTGACGAGGCGGATGAGGATGCAGGGGCAGAAGCACATGAGGACGAGAGAACAGCACACACAGACGTGCAGGATGGCAGCAGCAGCAGCAGCAGCAGTGAACCGAGTAATAGAGTTCCGTCCATGGCTGCTGCTGTGAGTGATGCTTCCGCCCTTGGTACTTCCTCTGCTCACACAAGCAGAGAAGAGGTCAACACTAGCTCAGGAACATGGGAGGAGAGTAGCAGTGGGTCTGGCGGCAGGGTCCGGTCCCTGGCTGCTGCTGTGAGTGCTGGTGGTCAGGGCAACACTGACTGTAGCGACAGCATTGGCAACAGCAGCGGCAGCAGCGATGCCAGCACGGGGAGTGGAGCAAGGGAGGGAGGCACCAGTGAGGGTGGCAGCAGGGTGCGGTCCCTGGCTGCTGCTGTGGCTGCCGGCGCACTCAGCAACGCCGACAGTGGCAACAGCAACGGCAGCACCAGCAGCGACAGCAATGCGAGCATGGGGAGTGGGGCAAGGGAGGAGACCACCAGTGAGGGTGGCAGCAGGGTGCGGTCCCTGGCTGCAGCTGTAGCTGCTGGTGCAATCAGCAGTAGCAGCAACAGCAGCAGTGGTGGTGGTGAGAGTGGAGGGAAGGAGGGAGGTGAGGAAGAGCTGAGCGTTTCCCAAGGGCGGGTGCGTTCGCTGGCTGCTGCTGTTGCTGCAGCTGCTGTCGCTTCTGCTGCTGCTCCTCCTGCTGCCCCTCCTCTGGCGACCAGCAGCAGTGCAGCTGGTTCTTCGGCCACTGCTGCTGCTGCTGCAGCCACTCCAGCAACTTCATCTTCCCTTTCCAGCTCCGAGCCTGCCACACCCTCCAGCACAGTTGACAGCACGCCTGCCAAGGACCCCTCATTGGCTGACAGCACCGGTGTTACCGGCAGGGTATCTGCCAGAGACCCCTCACTGGCTGTGTCTGAGGGGCGTGTGAAGGCCCTTGCTGCTGCTGTTGTAACGTCTTCTTCTGCTGCTGAACCCACCAGCCCAGTCTTCAAGGAGGCGACTCTTGAAGTTGGTGAGGGTCGGGTGAAGGCACTTGCTGCTGTGGTGGCATCTGGTGGTGTTGCTACCACTGCTGATACTGACGCTGACACCAACGGGGCTGCTTCAAGGGACCCCTCTCTCCAAGCGGCTGAGGGGCGGGTGAAGGCTCTGGCTGCTGCTGTTCTCACGTCGTCTTGTGCTGATGACATCACCGGTGCACCCTCCAAGGAGACGACTGTGGAAGTTGCTGAGGGGCGGGTGAAGGCTCTTGCTGCGTCAGTGGCTGCTGCTAGTGTTGACACCACTGCTGACACCGACAGTGCGGCTTCAAAGGACCCCTCTCTCCAAGCGGCAGAGGGGCGTGTGAGGGCTCTTGCTGCTGTGGTGGCATCTGCGGGAGCTGACTCCACTGGTGCACCCCCTAAAGAGACAGACACTCTGGATATTGTCCAAGGGCGTGTGAAGGCCCTTGCTGCCTCTGTAGCTGCTGTGGGAGACACGATTGCTGAAACTAACGGTGCTGCTTCAAAGGACCCCCCTCTCCAGGCGGCTGAGGGGCGTGTGAGGGCTCTGGCTGCAACTGTTGCTGCTGCTGGTATTGACACCACTCCTGACACCGAAAGCGCTGCTTCAAGGGAACCCTCTCTGCAAACAGCTGAGGGGCGTGTGAAGGCTCTGGCTGCTGCAGTTCTCACATCTTCTGCCACTGTTGGCACCACCAGTGCGCCTTCCGAAGATGCTCTGCTAGAAGTAGCAGAGGGGCGTGTGAAGGCTCTTGCAGCGGCTGTTCTCACGCCTTCTGCTGCTGACAATACCACCACCACACTTTCCAAGGAAGCTGCATCTCTAGAAGTTTGCCGAGGGCCGTGTCAAGGCACTTGCTGCCTCTGTTGCTGCTGCTTCTGCTGTGGACACCACCCCTGACACCAATAGTGCGGCTTCAAAGGACCCCTCGCTAGACGTTGCCGAGGGGCGTGTCAAGGCGCTGGCTGCTGCTGCTGCTGCTGTGGCCTCTGCTGCAGCTGATTCCAGCACAAGCACTAACAGCACTGCTTGGGACGACGACTCCTCTCTGGAAGCCATTGAGGGGCGTGTGAAGACCCTGGCTTCTGCGGCCTTGGCCTCTGCTGCAGCTGATTCCAGCACAAGCATTAACAGCACTGTGACGACCCTGGCTGCTGCTGTACCTTGTGCCATAGCCTCTGCTCCCCCTCCTCCTCCTCCTTCCGCCTCCCACTCCTCTCTCCCCACACACCCACTCTGATTCTTCACTTCAGGACAAGGACACCTATGCCAGCTCCACTGCTGCTAGATTCCACCACGTCCCTAACAGCCCGACCCAGGCTAACAGTGACAAGAAGAGCAGCCAGCAGCAGCAGCAGCAGCATCTGCAGTATCCCACTTCCTCCTCCCACCTCATCCCCCGACCCTACTCCCCCTCGCCCCACCCTATCCCTCGCTCCCCTTCCGCCCACCTCCCCTGCTACACCCGCGCCCCCTCCTCCCACCTCGTCAGCCCCATTCGTCCACGTGGCAGCTTCAGCCCGAGCCGCTTCCGAGCCTTAGACTCGGCAGCTGCAGCAGCAGCAGCACTGGCAGGGGTCTCCCCCCACCGCCGCCTCCCCTCTCCTAACCTCCCTCGTAATTCCACCTCTCCCCATCCTTATGCTGGTCCTGTTCCCTTCCGAACCTCATCCGTGAGTCCTAGCCAGTCGCCAATGGGTAGGGGCCTGCCTCGCGAGAGGTTCGGGCTGCCGCCCAGGTTCGGCAGCATCGCGAGGTTTGGCGGCGGTGTGAGGACCCGAGGTTCAGCGAGTTTCGTGATTCGTCGAGGGATTTGGATTTCCGGGAAGGGGCGGGGAGGAGGGGGCTGGATTGGGGGAGGGAGGAGGGGGTGGAGGGGTGGGGATAGGGGGTTCGGGGGGTGGGGGTTTGGGGAGTGGGGGAGGGAGTGGGGGGTACAGCAAATCACAGTCGTTGGATCGACAGATGGTAGTGCGATCTCCTGGGGCGATGGTAGGAGGTGGGGTGGGGGTTTGGAGCAAGACAGTACCTGTAGGGTCTACTGTTGGCCCTGCCATGGAGGAGGATGGGGGTGGTGGTGGAGAGTCAGGGGATGGAACAGAAGGCGAGAGGGAGGAGGAAGGGAGAGGAGGAGAAGATGAGGAGAATGAAGAGGAGAATGAGGAGGAGGAGGCGGAAGATGGAGAGGCAGAAGTGGGAACAGCTGATGGCATGCAAGAGAACATGAGAGAGATGGAGAGACGCATGCAAGCAGAGGAGACGACAGCCGCCGCCCACTCGTTCCTGGCCCCTGTGGCATCAAGCGAGGGAGATGGCAGCAGCAAGACTTGGAAGGACATCCTCCTCTCTGTGAAAGCGGCCTCTCAGCCAGGGGCACCTGTTCCCGGCTCGGAGCTCTCAGCAGCTTCAGGCTCAGTCGGGGCAGTCGGGGCGCAGAGAGGACATGGGCCCACCAGATGCAGGGAAGCAAGAAGGTGCAGGTGCTGCTGCTCTGGCGGCTGTAGCGGCCCAGGTTGTAGCAGGAATGCATGGGAGCAGGGAGGAGGGAGTGGTTGGTGCTGCTGGGAAGGCAGTGGGGGCGATTGGAGCGGGTCCTGCGGAGGGCTGCAGGCCAGAGGGGTGGAAGAGAGCAAGAAGTGTTGCGACTGGGGCGGTGGCCACTGGTTGGAGTGGGAGTGTGCAGGAGCAATGGGGCGTGGGAGAGAGAAGGGTGGACAGGCATGTTGCAGATGTGCCGGAGGGGGAGGGCAGGAGAACGAGGAGGGGCAGTTTGTGAATGGATCAGTAGCAACAGGTGGAGCAGAACGGGAAGGGGAACAGGGAAGGGAGGGGAGGGGAGGGAGAGAGGAAGGGGAAGATGGAGCAGTGATGAAGGCTGGTGCTGTGGATGGTGCAGTAGGGAGCGAGGAAGCCAGGGGTGGAGTGGCGTTCGTCAGCAGTGCAGCAGTGGTGGAAGGTGGTGGGGAGGAGTGGGGGGGCCAAAGTCCGATGAGGGAGTTGCTGGGAGCATTGGAGTCGCCCACCAGATGGGCTCACCTGTGCGCGAAGATGGAGTGCCAGCGACAGCTGTATGAAGGTATGCTTTACGGCATGTTTCTGGAGTTGGTGTTTCTGGTGCTCCCAGCATTCTCTCACCTTTTCGGTATCGCTCACTCTTCTGATGCCACTTTCTCATGCCCCCCCTATCAATCATCCCCTTCTCCCTTCAGACGATTCAAGAGCCACCCAGCTCTCAGAGCTGCCGGACGAATTCATCACCCAGATCCTCTCTCACCTCACCGACCCTCTCGACTGGGCGGCATGCCTCGTCCTATCCAGGCGCTTCGCCGCCCTCTCCTGCCTCGCCCTGCAAACCCTCTACCTCCTCCCGAACCGCCTGCTCCCCAAGCCTCTGCTGGCTCGGTACCTAGCCTGTTATCCGAACCTGGCGGCCCTGTACCTGCCTTGGAACAGCCTGGAGGTGGAAGGGGATGATGTTTTCGAGATGATTGTGCGATCGGGGCTGGAGCTACAGGCGCTGCACATTGACGTGTTCCCTGGGTATAATGTAAGCTGCTGTTTCAAGATCCTGTATTGAGGTTTTGTACGTATTTCTTTGCAAATATCCCCGCCATCCTTGCTGTTTCTTGCATTGCGTTCCTGTATTGAGTTTTCTTTATTTCACACTCGTTCTTGCTGTATTCCAAACTTCTCACCCCACTATTCTCACCTCATCCCCCATCTCCCTTGCTCTCCCCTTCCTCCCCCAACACCTACAGGAGCGCACCTACGCAAGAACCCCAGCAGGACTGAGCGCCCTCTTCACCTCGCTCCCCTCCCTCCGCTCTCTCTCTCTTTGCACCGGCCGTTTCGTCCGCACCCTTCCCACCTCCATCTCCCGCCTTTGGCGCTTAGAGGAACTGCTTATAATGAACCAGTCTTCGAAGCTTGGTTTGCGGTCTCTTCCACCTGCCCTCGGTCAGCTTTCGAATCTTCGCCGCCTGGTGCTCGACTCCTGCCTGCAGCTCGCTACGCTGCCCGAAGATATCGGGCAGCTGACAGGGTTGGAGGAGCTGGAGCTTCTGAGCCTGGATTGCCTGCGCCATCTGCCCGAATCCATCGGGCAGCTTCAGCGCCTGAAATGGTTCAAGATGTGCTGGTGCATGTCCGTCCGGAGTCTGCCAGAGAGCATCGGGCAGCTGAAAGAATTGGAGGAGATTGTGATCAACATGGCAGCAAGTGCAACTTGGCTGGGCACCCTGAAAG